TGTTGACAAGCGCTTCCATGTCGACGTACTTCACCTTCCGATCCTTGTCCTTCTTCGATCTTCTAGGACACGAAGAAATGAACTTCACGTCATCGGCGAATGTCACATTACGCTTGATCTCTTTTCGGGTCGACGTAGTCGGTCCCGAGGATTCGTCGTCTGTTGAACAATCCGAATCAGCGTCGCTGTCAACGGATGGACAATCTGACTCCTCCTCATCTTGTCTTGAAGATCGCTTCCATATAGCCGGGGCTGATGGATTCCACCTTCGACACAATCTGATGGCGGGTGCCGCAGGGAGTGCCTTGGCCTTGGCATTCGGCTTCGCTGGAGCTGCCTTTGCTTCGGATTTGGCTTTAGCTTTTGCCTTTGGTTCCGGAGCTGGGGTAGCTGCTGCCTCATGCTTGAAAGGACAATTCTCTCTTGAGCACGAGCCTGTGTTCTTGAACGAGTAGCATATCCTATTTCCTCCTCCTCCAGACGGACTTGGAGTTCTCGTCCTCGGCGTAAAGGGTCGCTCTGGAGTCTTCTTCGAGTGACTGAATGGGCACTTGTCACCATTTCGACACCCTGCATCTGTGAAATGGAACTTGCAGCGGATTTGCTTCTTGCTCTTGTCGCCTCTGTTGTCCGCTGACTCACTCCTCGTCTTCTTCTTGGGCTTTGGCTTGGTCTTCGCATGACTCTTCGCTTTGCTTTGAGGTAGTACAGGTGTTGCTTTATCCGGCTTGGTCGGCGAAGCCTTGACCTTTGCGGATGGAGCTGCGTTAGGCGTTGGTTTCTCAGGTACCTTGGCCGGTGCAGCGAGCAAATCCTTGCCCTCAAGCATCTGGCGCAAGCCAATTTGGGTCTGAGTGAGATTTGATTGTTCTCGTCTCCGCATGATGGTACGGTCGATGATCTTCATCAGATTGTCGTACGATCGGTCTTCATGATTGTAGGGCAAGTGTTCGTAGTGCATGCCCAACTCCATCTTCATTGCGGGCGAGTCCTTGATCTTGCTGTACAAGCAATCACGGAGAGCTGTTTTGGATGGTATGTCTTCTGGCCTCATCCGTCCCAGAACTTCCAACCACGTCTGCTTGAACGTATGAAGTTTGTTGTCGCCTTGGTACTGGAGCTTCACCAGATACTCGAGAGTGATGATCATGTCGAGACGATCGTGCGTTCGAAAACTTTCATACATCATCGCAATGATTTGTCGTCCTTTGATGATCTTCCCTTCGGGCCTGCTGATGTAATCGTTGGCCTTCCGGTTCACCTCCAGGTACAGATCAGCAGATTTGTCACCACCAGCGCGTAGCATTGCGACCATGGCGATCCCCAATTTGACGTCTACGCTCTTGAACTTCTTGTGTCCTGAATCGTTCAGTGCTTCGACATCAGGGAATGGGTTGAACGCTGGTGCCAGCCATAACATCCAGTCCTCATGATTTGGGTCGGCTGATGCTCCTAAAACATTGGCCGTGCATACGGATCGCCAGTTGTTGAGGTGAGTAAGAGTAGGCCATGGAGGAACGGTCACTTTATCGGCTTCCCTCCTGGAAATTCTCACCTCTGTGACTTCAGGATCTGCGTCTCCATCAGGATCACGCGCATGAGGGTCAGGATCCGGGTCAGGTTTGCCTCCACCGCTTCTCTTCTTATCATCATCGTCATCATCAGGCGGATCCGGAGGATCATACCCCGTGCCGGTTCCTTCATCATGCTCTCCCTCTCCGTTCTCGTCGCCAGCTTCATCACCGTCATCGTCTCCATTGTCTTCCTGAATCGTTTCAGCAAATAATCTCCACTCATCACGATCAGCTCTGAGACGCTGTTCGGCTCTCTGGGCCTTGAGTACTTCGCTTCGCAGATCGGCAATCTTCTCTTCGTACCGTTCCGCGACCTCTTTCTCGATCTGACGCCTCCTTGCCTCATGGATAGAATCGTCATAGGCGACAGGGGGACCAATGAGGTCGTTGCCCTTCGTAGATGCGATAATGCCGTCGATACCAACAGGTCTTGAGGAGCTGGCAGATGCTGTGGACTTCGATCCCAACATCCCGCGATCCTCCAAGAGTTCACGTAGCTGTCGATCACGCACGGCTGCCGCATCATTTTGCCCATGAAATCCGCTTGGTATGCCAAACAGAGTGGCTGCACTAGGCGTGGAACGCGCAAGTGCTGGGCTGCTAATACCTGGCACGTAGTGCTCGGGCATTGCATCCGCCGCCACGATTGGCGTTGAATAGGATTTATTCACCTCACCTTTGATGCGGCCAGTGAAGAAGTTTCCACCGGTAAATGGAATTTCATCCATCGCAAGGTTCTTGTCCTTGTCCGATTCCGAGAATGCGAACTTCTCTTTGGCGACTGGACTAACTTGACTTGGGGACCGTATTTCAGGGGATCGTACCTCACCTCCTACGGAAAATGCAGGCACTACTTCCTTTCCTACGTGCTCCCAGCCAGACTCAGTAGTCCTCGAAGACATGGGCATGCTCGAAGGCCGTGTCACTCCGCCATGGTAGTTGGAGTTCCGTGCTGCCTCCAATTCGCTGCGTGTCCTCGCTTGAAGATCTTCTTGTGCTTTGAGTGTTTTCCTGAGTTCACTCAGCTCGTCGTGCAAGGTAGGCAATGCGCGCCTTGCATGATCTTCATTCTGATGAAGTCGGTCCTCTGCATCTTGCATCCTCCTCACAGCCATTTTGCGGTACTCTTCCTCTTCACCAAGACGTTCACGAAGCCGAAGTCGTTCTTGATCAATGGCTGCGCTGTTCCCAGCTAGCCCTTGGATCTCGTTCACGGCCCGCAACTCCTGATTCTTGACCAAGTGGAATCGTTCCTGCATTGCTTGTAAGGCTTGTTCCGAACTTGCTGTGTTCGACCGGAGGAACAAGTTCTCTCTGGCATGTTCATGAAGTTCATGAGTCAGACGCTCATACTCACGTGCCATAAGCTCACCATCGCCTTGCGCTCTTGCCTCCAGCTGCACAAAGTTGGTGGCTGCTTCCGTGCGAAACACATGTAGCTGCTGAGCCAACTCTTCGGCAACGGCGTGTGCTTGACGTTGTTGAGCAGAGTTCTGTTCATCCATGCGAAACAAAGCTGCTTCATAGTCTCGCTTCATCTCCTGATTGACATTGTTGATGTGCCTCATGGCTAAGCATGCATGGTCACGTTGTCGTTCCAATTCTTCGATGCGAATCCCAGATCCTTCATCTTCTTGTTGCATCTCCTTGATCTTATCCATCAGGGTCTGGACAACTCCTTCGTACTCTTGCATCTGACTGCGATAGTACATCTGCTGCGCAAGGTTCGATGCTTCGAGCTGTTGCGAAATCGTCAGTTCCTGATAGGCATTCGGACCATCGGCTATGGCTGGCGTGGTCACCGATGACGCATCACCACGTGCAGGGATAGTGTCCAGAGTCATATCCAGATCGTCAGCATCGCGTGGTTGATTGGTAACCATCCTATTCCATGTCATGGACTTATCACGCCCACGAGTAGCCGAAGTCCTTGATCGTGCTGAAGAGCTTCTCGAAGATGATGGTCTCGACTTCTTTTCCAAGGTCTTCACTCCTTTGTCCTTGGCCCTGGACGTAGTCCGAGGTGCCTGAAAACCAGACGCTTCGGCTCGTCGTTCTGGAGCCTTGCCCGTCCTCGAACCTGTGGATGTCGGACGCGAAGGCGTAGATGCTCTTGGTAGACTCTTTGCTTTCACCTTGGGAACTGCCTTTGCAATGGCAAGCGCAGAAGATTGACCTTTGTCATCTTCCGTGGAGCTATCAACGGATTGCACCACTGTGTCATCAGCTGTTGACTCACCAACGGCTGGCGCTGCCACATCGGCACCGAAAGTCATTGTCGTATCTTGGCTTGATCCCGAGTTCATTGTGGTCGTAGTAGATCAAGTAGTCGTTGCTGTAGAAAGGCAGAGCCGCGTACGGCTGATAACCTGCGTGGGGATTTGATCTCGATTGTGTTGCTGCTCTCCCCACCAGAGCTGTAATGAATGTAGGTGTGGCTGGCTTGCACTCTCCACAGACTGGGACCCTGTCTCTCTCACACTTCCACACGTGCAATCCTATGCAGGCAGAACCGGCGGCCGTTCCTTTTGCACTCGCTGCCGGCGGCGGTTCGTCTGTGCACGGGATAGCTCTGATTGCTCAGGATAGAAGACACATATAGCACTTAGCTATGGGCATTGACTTGAGCCAAACGTTGCGTGGGCGGTCACATAGAAAGGTAAGGAGAAGCGATGCGGTGTGCGCAGCACGTCCACAAGCTTACTCCTAGAGTCGAGGGACGCGTAGCGTGCCCCCTTAGAGTCGAGGGACGCGTAGCGTGCCCCCTTCTCTTGCACTTTACACGGTCTTGCTCACAGCTCTTATAGTGACACCTTAGAACTTGACAAGGCATCGCAGTCCGTTCGCATTGGTTTTGTCCGCCCAAGACTTTTTGTTTGGAAAAGTTAGTTTTTCGGACCAAAACAACCTTTTGCTAGGCAAAAGGTGGCTTTTCAACACTCCGGCCGTATCGTCTTACAGCAAATGTTTGTTGTGTGTTTTTTGGTTTTGCTTCGGAAAAAGTTGGCTGTTCGGCCCAAAACCATCTTTTTTGCTAGGAAAAATAGTTTTGCACGCCAAAACTGTCTTCTCCTAGGAAATGTGGTATTTCGTTTCAAAACCTGTGTTTCTGTAGAAAAGGGTTTGTATTTCATTCCGATTCCTTTTTGACCTGAATTTCTTGCTTGTGCGTGTGTAAGTGTGTGTATGTTCGGCATGTCCCACGTGCGTTCGGTGCAAAAACTGTAGCCGCTACGACATACAGCTTGGCGCAACAGACATAGCCGCCGCTTTCAAACTGGAATACGAAGCACAAAACGGCATGCAAACACACCTTGTTCGTTCCATGGTCCGCGTGTGCAGTTTTGCAGCTTCTACAACTAGTCTACAACCCCGAACCAGGAGCCAAAACTAGAAAGCTACGACCGCTGTACATCCATGCACCCGTCACCGGCACAGGTACTTCAGCATCTCTCCGGTCGCCGTCCACAAGCTCTTGCCTTTCTGCCAATACACCCACTGTGCACTGCGAATCTTGCGCATGAGGATTGTGTTCCCTGGAGTACGCGGTGTACTTTCGATATGCTCTCTCAAGTGCCTCCAGCACCGATCGATGATTGGCGTCCCACTCTTCACATGCAACGTCATGCCACCCGGGATCCACAACTGATACACTTTCGTGAAATGCGGCTTCACCCACATCACCTGTCATGGCTTATTAACTAAAACACAAGCCCACATGGAATATGACATGATGTCGTCAAGATACGTTATTTAGTCACATGAGGCAGTACAGCTCAAACTGATAATGCATAGTATGCACATGTGCTATATGGTTCAATAGAACTATACATGATAACACATATTATGCAGATTTACTACATGATGCAGTAAAGCTAACACTGATCATGCAAATGATGCACATTCGTTAGGTGTGTTTCTTTATGCACGCTTTATTTCATTACATAAAACCAGTGACGATAGTACTAACCGAATTTCTTCAACACGCCGCCTTGCTGCCAAACTTGACTTTCTCTCCCTTGTGAACGACATTGCAATGGGCTACCTTGTCGAGTTTGAGCTTGTAGGCTCGGGCACCGTCGGTGTGGAGCATGATGTGTCTGCCTGCCAAAAGCTTTGGTGCGATCGGTTTCCAATCCCTCTTTCGGATTGGGCCGGGGTCGGGAGATCTGGTCTTCGTAAGAGGCGGCTGCAGCTGAACAAGGCGAAGTGTTTTGGGTGAGCCCCGTTGAACGATCCTACACCATTGTTCCCATTTCACCTTGTTGTTGTCCACAACTGCTTTGCCCAAATCCACCCAACCAGGCCCTCCACCATACTGAATGTGTTTCTCATGCGCCGTGACGAACCGTGCCCGAGCCGTGTCGACATTGGTGTGGACGCGGGAGACAATCTTGTCATCGACATCGAAGATTTTGGAGACGCAATGTTGCGGAACCGATGCGACTGTACGGATGCCTGCTTTTGCAAAGGAATCTTACTGTTACCCGCCCCTGAAACAAAGATGGGATGGAAGTCGGCTGGTTGAACAAGCCTTTGGTAGGCTTTCACTCGGCATCTGTGGGCCCAGATCTTCTTAGGAGAAACGAAGGCGAGCTGTGTCCATGTACCTTTGCCGCAATGAGGACACTGTCTATTCAGTCCACGTCGACAGGAACCGGTCTTGCCGAAGGAGGCGAACCAGCGACAGGTATCTCAACGACATGAACATTTGAATGGAGCGGCCCCACTTTTCCCGCTCACGATGGTGCCTCGTTGCAGGGCTACCGTGGCGGACGTACGGCACCTTCAAGAGCTTCATGGATTTGATCGCCGGGCGTTTGGTCAAAGCTCTCGCCTTGCCGCTTTTAGGGGCAGGCCACGTAAGCGAAGGATTCGATTGCTTCATTGCTTTCTTGACCATGGCTTGGACAAGTCCTAGAGATCAGACGGGTCGCAGTAAGGCTTGAGCTAAAAAATGCTACGAAATTCGCGTCAAGACGTGAAGAGAATGACCATTCAATGTGATGAGGGTCGAGTTGATATGATTCAAACAACGGCGGCATGCAGACAGATCTCCTCTTGTTCGACCATTGGGTGGCGAAAAGTCGCGAATCCGAATGCTCAGCGCTTTTCGTACATGTGCACCATGCCCTAGTATAGTGTACAAGTCCGCTACACTTGCAACTAAACTTCACAGTCTGCAAGTTCTGCTTGTTGGGAGATCTGTGTGAAACTTGGAGCGTACCAGTTCTGCTTATTGGGGGATCTGTGTGTAGACTATGTATGAAAGTTCGCAGTCTGTAATGTAAGTTCTGCTTATTGGGGGAAGTTTGTCCACACTATGCCCAAAACTTCGCAGCCTGTAAGTTCTGCTTATTGGGGGGTATTTGTGTAGACTGTGCCTGAAACTTCGCAGTCTGTAAGTTCTGCTTATTAGGGAAGTTTGCCCACACTATGCCTCAAACTTCGCAGTCTGTAAGTTGTGCTTATTGGGGCATCTGGGCACACGTCACGCGACAAAACATGTAATGTGGCAATATGAACCGTGTGTGTGTGACGACTGCATAGACACAGCAATTGATGTACACAACCCATATCATCAACAGATGCACTGTGGTGAGATGCAAAATTGCGCGGAGCGTTTCTGAGACTCAGTCGCGCATGTAGACGATGGAAGCCATTCAGCCCTCCGTTTTTGAGTTCTCATCCTCATGATCGAAATACAATCTGATCTCCTCCTCGAGGCCTTGGGTGAGGCGTTGGGATGCTGAGCCTGACGATGCATGTTTGGGTTTTTTGGGAGATGGGTCGATGTCGATGGCTTTCTCCAAGCTTGCACTTGACAACGACTTAAGGCCACCCGGTTCAATCTTGAACTTTTTCAAAGCGCTTCCTGCAGCTTCATGGGAGTGTCTGCCGGCATGGCAATCGAGAGTAGACGAGCTGCTAAAGTTGTTGCGAAGAATGTTCTGGACGTCCGTTGCTGATGCTGTCTTGCTGGGCAGCGCTGATGATTCCACGAATGATCCTTTTTGAGAGTATAGTTGCTCTGTATCGCAAGTTGTCAAAATCACCCGCCATGACCTTGTCAACCCAACAAGCTTCTCCTTGAAGTCTGCTGGCATGTCGGTACCACCCTCACGGTGGTAGTCGTTCACCGAGTGCGATTCGAGATGGAGCAAGTCGGACTTGTCGCCAAATGGCATGCAGAGGACCGGGGATCCCTTTTCACTGCCCGGACGAACATAGAGGGAGGTTTTGGTGCTGAGCAAGATGTGAGTGCGCTTCAAAACTGCCATGACATTGGCCGAAGTCTTCTCTTTTTCATACCAGGCTTTGTCGAGCATGTTCAAAAACTCGTCGTGGGAGACGTGGGACACCACACCTTCTCCTTGGGCTAAGATGGGGAGGTTAAAGGCGGGCTCCGCATTGACCTCAAAATCATTGACACAATAAATCCGCAACACTCCTTCGACATGCTTTCGATATTTCCTACGTCGGTGAAAGCCTTAACCCTTTTGAAGAGCTGTTCACACAAGCTCCCATCGTCGAAAATGTCTGGCCGGAACACCTTAGATAAAGGAACATAGAAGGTTAGATAAGTTTCCATCGGCGGGCGATAAGATAGAACGAACATGTCGCAAAAACATTGAATAATCAAAGCCATGAGGCGGTGCCCGACTGCCCACGAAAAAAATCGAACTCGGAAGCTGGCGGAAAGAAGGTTCGACCTCTCCAGCCTTCCCGATGCGCGATAGGTGAATCCTTTTTCGCCGTTTCTGTAGTGATCCATCGAAGCTGTCTGTTTTTGGTATTGTCTCTAGGCCCTTTCTCTTCGATGAAATAAAAGCCGAAATCCCATTGTTCTTGACTCCTGTCAACCTCAGGCTTCCCTTGTTCGGCGGCTCGGATGATGTGTTGTCTGCACTGGAACCCACCCAACTTCTCGAACATGAAGTAAAAACTAAATTTCATGATCACCCCGACTTCACCCTTCCAGTCGAACATAAACGACTCGCCCTGACAGAACTCTCTGGCAGTAGCGACCTTGACGAGCTGCTGAAGGTGTATCAACTTGATGATGATATGATTGCCCATTGGAAGGGTGGCCTTGTCCAGCATAAACGGTCCACTGATAGCTTTTTTGAAGCCGTAGAATCCTGGGAGCTCATGATGGTTCTTGCTTTGGAGGCATTCCTGGATATGAGCGATTGGGACCTCGCCGGAGATATTGCAGTGGATATCGATCCAGCACTTGACCATGCCGGTTGCGGGAAATGGAAATTGTCGGCATGCCCACGGACGCAAGAGACCCCGCTGGAGCTTCGTGGAAGGAATGCAGGTCCGTGGGATATACAAGGATATGCTTCACGGCTTCCTTGACATCAACCATACATACATTCCCCATGCTCCAATCGACTGGCATGACGACGAGGAGGACGTTGAAGAGAGGCGATGACTGCACGAACACTCGAATCAGATTCGTGTGCTATGGCCAACATGTGGATGTGCATGTGCTTTTGCGAAGAATCAAAGCAAAGCATCAAAGCAAAGCAGCATTCAGGCTAAGATCTACTGACAAGGCTGCATAGTCTAGTGAGTGTGGCGGCACTAGAGTAGACACTAGAGTAAAAATAGGTGTTCGCATATGTATGTGTATGTATACACATACAAAGCGTGTCCTTCCCCACCGCTGTGCTTCTCCAATGTGTACGCACACGTCATCAGCATCATCAACTGCAAACGACCTTAAACCCTGACTTTGAGGCAGTAGAACACCAAGCCAAAAGTTGCAGCATCGCATCTGTCTGCAGCCGCAGCACCTCGCTGTAGTTCTTGGGGGGAGGGGGGGATTAACATCCCTTTAAAGGAACCTAGGCATTTTAAAAGAACCCTAGGCCCCTTCAAAGGAATCCTTTAAGTAGAATCCTTATAGATCCCTTTAAAGGAGCCGCTTATAATCCCCTTTGAAGGAACCCTAGGCATGATCCCTTTTTTAAGGAACCCTAAACGCCTTGTAGATCCCTCCCTAAGCCCTAAACCCTAAACCCCAAACCCTAAACCCCAAACCCTAAACTCTAAACCCCAAGCCCTAAACCCTTCATAGGAATCCTATAAGTTCCAATCTTCGGGCTTGGCCCGCGGGGAGGCGAGCGAAGATCCCTCGTAAAGCGCAGCGATTGTTTCGGGCGGCGTCTTCTCAGACTCTTGGGTGTGGGGTTCAAGGCTTGGGGTATAGGGTTCGGGGCTTAGGTTTTAGGCTTTAGGGTCTAGGGTTTGGGGAGTTTAGGGTTTTAGGGTTTAGGGTTTGGGGTTTAGGGTTTAGGGTTTGGGGCTTAGGGTTTAGGGTTTAGGGTTGGGGATTTAGGGCAGCTGATCCCAGTCAAGTCATGACTCCTCTTAGAAGCTATGTCAGCAATGTAGGGACACCATACTCAACGAGCCGATAATTAAGGACCACAGGCCCATTGCTTGGAATCTACATCTTTCATTTCTCGAAATCCACGTGCAAATCTCGAAGCATCTCGAAGTGGTAGACGTCGTGAAAACTATCCCCTAGACCCCGAAGCCTAAACCACCTACTTGGAGGGTCGGGGACTTAGAAGGTAGGTAGTAAGTAGACTTATAAGTACCCTAAAAGGGACCCTAAAATAACCAGTTACTAAGTCCCCCGACCCTCCAAGTAAGCCACCAACTCTGCAGGATCAACCCCGGGTCCTAAACCCTAGATCTTGTATCATACAGGGCTTTCGGGGTCTTCTCAGACTCTTGGGTGTGGGGTTTAGGGCTTAGGGTATAGGGTTTGGGGTATAGGGTTTGGGGCTTAGGGATTTAGGGTTTAGGGTTTGGTGTAGCGTTTAAGGCTATCCTGTACACAACCCGGCCATCGACCCAAAGATTGACGAAAAAGCCGCTGCCGAACTGCCCGTTGGACAGAATTCCGTGCAAACATCATAGGTGCCGAACTTTACTCGGTCGTTCTGTTCCGCGTGGGGGCTCCTGACCCTCAACCCTAAAGCCATTCTTCTCGTGTCCTTCATGGCTGCCAATAATCACTACACTGAACTTAGAACCCTAGCAAAAATTATAATTTTAGCTGTTTCTTAGGGATTATAAGCACCAAAAATTGAAAAACAATTTCTAAGTACCCCTAAGATTTACCCAGAGGGCCTTCTCGCTGCTCCAACTTCGGGCTTGTACAATAGGTATCTATTAGGTACGGCCCCCATACAGTAAGAGTCTATAATAGGGCTACTATTAAGGTCCTGCTATATCTATATAAGGAATATTATTCAACTATTACTGAGTGGGGGCCGTACCCAAGGTATCTACGGCTTAAGGAATAGCATTGCCAATGATTCCGATCCCCAATTTTATCGTAAAATATGGGTTCCGTGGAGTCCAAAAAACCCTTTCCCGAAGCCCTCAAGCCGAAAGCCCGGCAGTCCCAAACCCATCAATCCAAGGGTAAAAGGAGGGACCCTTAATGAGGACCCCTAGGTATATACCCTCAATATAGCCATTATATACCCATTATATAGCCCATTATAGGGTAGGGGTCCCCATTAAGGGTCCCTCCTTTTCCCCTTTGAATCAACCCTTGCACAACAAAACCCTGACACAGCTCTTACACATCAAGGGCTTAGGGTTTAGAGCTTCGAGTTTAGGGAACCAGAAAGAAAGAAACACCCCTCAACCCTAAACCCACAGCCCTAAGCCCCAAACATAAATAAGTCTGACGACTCCTCAACTTAAGGTGTCTCGGCCCTACGACGACAGCTGGGGCCCGACAAGACTTCAACAGCCCCAGGAAGACATGGGCTGATTCTGAGTTCCCACTTGGAGGGTCGGGGGACTTAGTAACTACAAGGGGTTCCTTAAGGGCCCCTTTAAAGGGATCTATAGGGATTCTATAAGGGTTTAGGGTTTGGGGGACTTAGTAACTGGTCATTCTAGGGACTTATAAGTACCATATCCCCAATTAGGGTCCCTTTTAGTTTACTTATAAGTCTACTTACTGCCTACTTACTAAGTCCCCCGACGCTCCAAGCAGAGACTGCAGTATCCCTTAGTTCAGGAATACACCTTAAATTATAGTAGGATCCCCTATAAAATTCTAAGGTATATTCCTTAATTCAGGGATATTGGAGTCCCTGGGCTCCGCGATGCGAATCGCATCGCCAAATTCCCCTCACGAAGGATTTTGACATAATGTAGGAACCTGATCAAGAAACCTTGGGCCTTTATTAGGGGTTCCTTACATGAATCCTACTATTTTGGGGGGGTTTCTTAATCAGGTTCCTACATATGGGGAACTCTAGACCCTGAACCCTCAATCCGAAAACATGAACCCTCAACCCTGAGCCCTGAACCCTAAACTCCTAAACCCGAAGCCCGGGCCAACCTCCTCAACCCGAAAGCAGAAAACCCACCGCGAATCTAACCCCCGAGCTCCAATCCTTGGGACCATAAGAGTCCCATTAAAGGGATATAGATTGGCAGGGGCCCCCACCCTGCAACAGTGACTTTAAGGATTATATTAGGGCCCTTTTTTTTCCTATTATACCACTATTACAGGGTGGGGGCCCTTCTATGATATAGACCCTCTCAATACGGTCCCCGGAAGTAGGGTTAAGAAGGGTCCCCTTTCAGGGGCCTCCCTAATGCATACAGACATTCGCCGAACCCTAGGAGGGATTGCGGGGCTTAGGGTTTACCTGGCCCCAAATAACCTACCTTTTTAGGGTTCCCTAATATGATTTCTTTATATAAGTCCATGAAAAGGTAGGTTATTTGGGGTTAAGGTAAGGGCTAGAGTACTCGGGGGAGTTTGGTCAATACTTGGGGAATACGGGTTCTATGCTCCCCTGGGAACCAATTTTCAGCACATTGGCTTCCTGGAGCGCTGTGGGGAAGTCTCGGCCTGATCGTAACTCGCCGGGCACTTCTGCCGCAGCCCGCGTGGAGGTTTCGCAACAACAAAGCACGAGAGTTTCGGAGTGAAGGTTTGGATGTAGGCTGCTAACCCTAAACCTCAAAGCCTTTTTAGCTTCTGAGCTTGAGGACGGTTGTAAGGTTTAGGGTTTAGGGTTTAGGGTTTAGGCTTTAGGGGTGTAAGGTTTAGGGTTTAGAGATTAGGGTTTTAAGGTTTAGGGTTGAGGGTTCATCATAGAGTTCAGGGTTATGGGGCACGCATGCACATGAGCTTCCGTAAAGATAGCTGCCCTGCATGGAACCCTACCACCGTAGCAGCAATTCTACGAACTGTAATCAGTAGCCACCTCCAACACCATCGCCGTCATCAACGCCATCAGCATCATCACCACCATCACCAGCAGCGCTATGTCACCGCCATCATCATCATCATCATCACCAACATCACCATCACCAACAACAACTCACCATCCTCGACAATGGTAGAAACCCTAAACACTAAATGTGCCTTATTAGGTCCTTAATATGGGCAGTACGGCTCCCTACGCCCTCTCCCCCTACCCTCCTAAGGGTCCCTATGAAAAAACCGTAGTCCCAAACCCCCAGGCGCAGGCTCGGGAATCCCCAGCTGATCTAGGTGCTACTCGCCAAAGCGGTGAGCTGAGAAATCGCATCGAAGCAATTGCTTCGCTAGAAAAACGAGCCGGGCCAGCATACCACGGAGGATCCCACCCAGAGCCTTCACGTAGGATTTCATGGAGCTTCGTAGGTTTGGAGGGGATTGTTAATCAACTAGTTCAGGCATTCATGAGTTGCTTCGGGGTGTAGTATAGGGGCCGCAATAATTAGAATAGGGTTTTGCAGCCCATTGTACTATACTTATAATAAGGAACCCCTGAAATAGCATTAATAAGTATTTAGGCCCCTATAGCAATGCGAGGCTGGTTTGCTATCCCCGAAGTTTGTCGTTGCGACCCTGCATCCAGCGCTTGTCTGATCCGTAATTATTGTGGCACCTTTATTCGCTCTTGGAAACAACCTGCAGTTTGAGGAATGTTCTCAAGTCCGAAGGCAACTTCTCAGCGACGGTGAAGGAATAGTCCTTACATTGAAGATGCGCTGCTTCCCATTCTCTGGGCATTGCCGCAAGACAAGCTGTAGTTCTAAGGGTGCGGGTGCAAGAAAGGGGCCTTAATGGGTGGTACCCAGAGAGCCCAATACCCCTTAATTAAGGAATATGGCTTAAATTATATAGGGCTTCATATTATGATTTAAGCCATATTCCTTAATCAAAGGGTATTGGTCTCTCTGGGTATGTGATGGTGCAGTTCAGCAGCCATTTACAAGCTTTTGCGCGGCTTGGCTTATGAAAGATGGGCGCCAAAATGCGATCACATACCCTACTTGGAGGTTCATGGGTAGTTTTGAGTGGCGCTATAAGTAGGGAAACAATAATTAAAACTCCTATTAGGGGGCTTAGAACCACACTTATAACTACCCATGAACCTCCAAGTACTAAACCCTAAACCCCAAACCCAGGCACCAAAGCCACATGCCCGAAGCTTCCGGAGGCATCACTGAGCACGAGGGCTTGGTGTTTCGGGGTTTAGGGGTTTGGGGTTTAGGGTTTGGGTTTCGGGGTTTTGGGGCTTAGGGGTTTTGGGGTTTGGGGTTTGGGGTTTTGGGGTTTAGGGTTTAGGGTTTAAGGCCCAGGGTCGACGAGCCAAAAAACACCAAAACCAAACCTTTGAAGGACATAGCCCCTGCATGGGGATACAAAAAGGTCCCTGAAAGGAACCCTGAAAGATCCCTTAAAAGGAGCCCTTAGAGATCCCTTAAAAGGAGCCCTCAAAGATCCCTTAGAGCAAGATCCCACATGGGGATAGCTTTCAGTGCTTTATGCAGTCCTACTTAAAGGATCAGGGGACTTAGTAAGTAAGGTTATAAGTACCTTAATTGGGGTTATAAGTGGTTATAAGTATAGTTACCCTAATTATAACCCTAGCTACTAAGTCCCATGATCCAAGAAGTAAGTTCCTTTGAAAGGGGTACGTACACGCAGCACAGTGGTAGGACCCAATCCGAAAACCCCTACTTTCTACTACAGTAGAGGCCAGAAAGTTGGAATATGGTTTCATGGTGGGATACCCTATAATTTACCATAGAAGGGTTAGGAAAATCATATTCCAACTTTCTGGCTTCTACCTTATGGCCATTGTAGCGACCTAGACTATTAGATCTTAGATGGGGTTTTGAGGTATACCATAAATAAAACTATGAATCAGGAACACGAAGTCATAGTTTTGAACAGTTTTCCAAGCCCCTATCATATTATCGCAGAATTATACATCAGGAAGCCGAACGAATAGTATTGGCCCCTCAAGTCTGTGATTTTTTGGTCTCGAAAGTCCCACCTCGAAGTGCTAGAAAACTAAATCCTTGGCAATTATTCAGGCGCGCCCTAAACCCCAAACCCTATATTCAGAGCTCCCGAAAGCCCCACCTCGAAATTGCTAGCTCGAAGCGAGGAAGCATCGGTACCAGCTGTTCACGGCCTTGAACCTTGGGGGCGTTTTGGGCTTTGAGGGCAGGAGGGGTTATATTGCACCTGTGACTCCGGGGAAGGTTTAGAGCTTTGGGAGTTGGAGTTTGGACTTGAGGGTTTGGTGTTTCGGGGTGTTGAGTTTAAGGGTTGAAGGTTTAGGGTTTTGGGGTTGGAGGTTTGACGTTCTGGGGTTTGGAGCTACAGGTTTTGGGCTTTCGAGTTGTTTTTCGTTGAGGCGCAGGGATTTGGCTGAGGCTTTGGATGTCTTCCTAGAGCTCAGAGTTTATGTGGGAGTTTCCGAAAATAGAGGACCCTAATATAGTACCCTAAATGGTAGGATCCTTACTATAAGGACCCCAAATACGGCACCCCTAATTTTCGGAAACTCCCTAAGCCCTAAACCCTTTATAGAACCCTTCTAGATCCCTTATAGATCCCGGTACCCCTAATTCTCGGAAACTTTTCATGTGGCTTCGGCAACGACCCGGGCTCTAGAGCTCCTACACCGTGGGCCGGTGAATGAGAGCGGTGATGTCCGGTTGTGTTTCGTGGGAGGTACGGTTGATAATATAAGTCCTGCACTACACATAATAAGGAATATACCACAACTCCCACAGTTTAGGGTCATTCAGGTAATGCAAGATTTATATCATCAACAGTAGGAAGGCCAATACCGCTGAAACTTGCATTCCGTAGAAGGCCCCTCCACCCTAGAATAGTGACTATAAGGCTTATATTAGGGTCCTCTTATATGCCGATTATACCACTATTACAGGGTGGGGGGGCCTTCTAATGCATTCCGTTCAAGCTAAAGACAGTGTCAGAACTTCTGGCCGGGCATAGCCAGAAAGGACAATACCTACGAAGCCTTCATCCCCAGATTCCGCGCGGTCAGCGCGGGAACAACTTCGTCAATTATTTTAATGCTCGAACCCTAACCTCAAAACTCCAAACCCTAAACTCGAAAGTGAAACCCTTCAACGCAAAACTCTACCCTTCTCCAAAACCTCACGGCCAAAAACATCCCTGAACAACCCCAACCCTAAAACTGCCTAACCCTGAACCCTAACCCTGAAAATTGCCTAGTGACCCAAAACACAATTTCTGAACAAAACTGAAGACTGTTCAGCATTTCTACAAGGGCTACTACTTGGGGTGTCTGTAAGGGCTACTCTCTTAACCCGAACTTCCTGATGTCTAAACCCTGAATCTTGTATTGGCGCCCCTGTGTTAATCCTAAGCTCTAAACCGTAGTCCCTAATTCCTGAACCCGTATTCCTAAATCCTAACCCTCGTACTGGCCCAGTATTAGTTCTTAAGCTCTAGATTCCTGAACGCTTCTTTCTAAACCCCAAACCCTGTAGGAGTTTTTCTTCGGACTACGTCGCTCTGGAAGTCCCAACCCTGCCAAGCAACGCATGGAAGGCCACTGCGGCCTTGTTGCCGCAGTCCACTCCTTAGAAGGCTACGGGTGGGAGCTTAGAGGCTTTAATCAGCAGAATAGACTGTGGGGCATCATAGACTATGGTTATGATGGGAACCGTTAGAATACTGTTGGTCGCTATTCAGGCCGCTATAGAGATTTGGGTTCGGGGGCGTCGGAAATCGGGCTCAGGGTGTGGAGTGCAGTTTCGGAGCTTTGGGGTTTGTGGCTTGTGGTGCAAGGTTTAGAAGAAAGCTTCAGGCTTTAAGGCTTAACGGCTTCGCGGTTTTGAGGGTTTATGCTTCACTTGGAGGGTCGGGGGACTTAGTAAGTAGGTGGTAAGTAGACTTATAAGTACCCTAAAAGGGACCCTAATTGGGGTTATGGTACTTATAAGTCCCTAAAATAACCAGCTACTAAGTCCCCCGACCCTCCAAGCAGGATGTTGGACATCCCGAAGCTTAGACCGGCTGTATCTGTGAGCACTAGCTTGGCTTTGAGCTGTTCCATTCGGGTGCGGCTGCGAGGCGTCGTGCAAGAAGGGCTTCTTTGTTGGAGCATTTGCACGTTTTTTACGGGGGGCAACACAGAAACAGCACAAGCCTGGTAACCGTGAAGTGTCTGTACAGGGTTACCCTAGGGCCCTAGGGGGCTCCCTAAACCCTAAACCCCAAGCCCCTAAACCCCCTAAACCCCTAAAGCCCCTAAACCCCCCAAACCCCCTAACCCCCTAAACCCCCCAAACCCCCTAAACCCTCTCAAGATCCACGGTTCTGACAGCCCAAGCCCCGGCCAGGCTTAGCCCCCGGCCCCAGCAGCGTTCGTCGTGCAAGAAGTTGCCATAGTCAGGCTGGGCCTGAACCTCAGGGCGAGGACATCGTAGGGTTTAGGGTTTAGGGTTTAGGGTTTGGGTTTAGGGTTTAGGCAGGAGGAGCAGCAGGAGCAGGAGCAGGAGCAGTAGCAGTAGTAGCAACAAGAGAACTAATAACAACCATAATACTACCCATAATAATAGTATTGTTTCTTCCATCATGGAGGATTTGTGATCCCTGTAGGTTGTTCCGCATGTGGGGGGGCTGTTGCTGTCTGGCGATGCCGGCGATGGTGATGATGAGCCCTACAGTAAATGGCACTAGATGAAAAGCAGTTTATACTCAAATCCCGACAGTGTCCCAAATCCCAAAACCCGAAACCCTAAACTGCAAAGACTCTACAGGCTAAACGCAGAGGGGCCCACAATCCCCGATCCCCTGGTAGTTGTAGAGTTCTAGCCGTTCAAGACAAAACCCCACAGGGAGCTCCGAACCCTGAACCCTTCCAGGCCCTACATCCTAAACCCGAAACCGGCTTAGGGTTTGGGGTTTAGGGTTTAGGGTTTAGGGTTTAGGGTTTAGGGTTTAGGGTTTGGGGTTTAGGGTTTAGGGTTTAGGGTTTAGGGTTTAGGGTTTAGGGTTTAGGGTTTAGGGTTTAGGGTTTAGGGTTTAGGGTTCAGGGTTTAGGGTTTAGGGTTTAGGGTTTAGGGTTTAGGGTTTAGGGTTTGCCTTAACCGTGAAACCTCATCACCCGCAACCCTCTGTCCTAGCGGGACAACTGAAGCTACACGACCTTTGCAAAACCCTCGCAGAATTTGTCCTGTCTGCAACACACACCCCAAACTCAAAAGCCCTAAACCCAAAACCCCAAAGCCCAAAGCCTAAACCCTAACACCCTGAACCAAAAAATCCTAAAACCCCAAACCCATAAGCCTAACCTAAAACCCTAAAACCCTGAACCCCTAAACCCTAAAACCCTAAACCCCTAAACCCCAAATCCCTACATGTAGACATCCCTGAACCCTGAAACCCCTAGAACCACTAAACACCAAAAATCCCCTTATAGAGCCCCTATAGATCCCTTAAAGGAACCCCTTACAGTATCCGAAACCCTAAAACATTCCGAAAACTAAAACATCCTAAAACCCCTAAAAACCCCAAAACCTTCATTAAAACCCTAAAACCCTAAAACCCTAAAAACCCTTAAAACCCTTAGAACCCTAGAACATCCTCAAACCCCCAAAACCCTTACAACCCCCAAAACCCTTAAAACCCTAAAACCCTAAAGACCCTAAAAACCCTTAAAACCCTTAAAACCCTTAGAACCCTAAGACGTCCTAAACTCTCTTCTTCAACAACCGTGCCCCAGAAAGTTCAGACTTTCTATGATAGAGCTCATATATAAAGCCAAAAAAGTTTATAGTTCCCCTGCTCACTATCTAAGTAAAACCCGTGAAAATTTCATCGGAGGAGCTCCCAGGATCTCCAAGCAGGTGCCCATGTACCTGAGCTCGGGAGTTCTTGGGGTTTAGGGGCTTGAGGGGTTTAGGGTTTGTGGTTTAGGGTTTTTAGGGTTTTAAGGGTTTTACCGGTTTTGGTGGGTTTTAGGTGTTCTTAGGGTTTAGGGGTTCTTAGGGGCTTAGGGGTTCTTAGGGTTTAGGGATAGGGTTCCTTTAAAGGGGCTCGCTTAGGGTTTCTATAAGGGTGATTTAGCGTTTAGGGTTTGGGGTTTAGGAGTTAGGGGTTTGGGGGCGTTATGGGTTTGGGGGTTTAGGGGTTCCGGGGATGTCGCGCTTCAAAACTGCAGGGATGGCACATGCTTCTGTGGCCTTCTCTAGATTTTCCTGGGGCTTTTGTTGCATGTTGCAAGGGGTCTACAGGGTTTGAACGGTTGAAGGACGAAGCTTCTGATTTTCCGAATTGAGGCTTGGGGGTAGGAGTCAAGCGGTTACAACAATCCAAGCAGTAACACACTGGTCCGCCGAGCCCCGAGAGTAGAAGTCTTCATACGGCTCAACGAATCATAGAACTCACAAGTCACAGCCTCCTTTTCTAGTCGTCAGGAACTCTTACTGTAAATAAACCCTCAAACCCTAGACCTATGCTCGATAGTACCCTAGTATAAGCATTAACCTCTCGTCTAGTTCATGGTCGGGATAGGATTAAAAATTCAAGTTTTTACTCCTTAGTGGGTTTAAGTACCCACTAAAATGTAAAATTTTACCCAACTATGACAAAGTAGTACCATTATCGTACCTGTCAGGAGCGAGTTCGCTGAGCCACACGCGTGCATAAGGCAAATGGAATGCCGCCAGCAGGGCAGCTCCGATCTCGGCCACTACCCAAAGACTCCGATATCCTTCAATTAAGGAAAACACCTGAAATTAAGGAATGCACCTTAAATTAAAGTAGGATCCCTATCATGATTTAAGCCTTAAATCATAATAGGGATCCTACTATAATTTAAGGTGCATTCCTTAATTAAGTGATATAGGAGTCTCTGGGTATGTCTTCCCGATCGTCGACGTGAGCCACGTGAGCGGAATGGCTGCCGTCGGATCTGCTGCAATACCTCGCTCTTGCCGGCCCGACCAGCGAGATGGCGAGACCGAATAAGCTCCGTTCCAGGGACCCAGAGACTCCAATATCCCTTAATGAAGGGGCTCCTTAAAGGGCTCCTTAAAGGGATCTATAGGGGTTCTATAAGGGAATTAAGGAATATTCCTTAAATTATAGTAGGATCCCTGTTATGATTTAAGGATTTTTCTTTAATTCAAGGATATTGGAGTCTTTGGGGAGCTCGCAACGAAGCTGGAACCCCTAAGACAGGAACCATAAACGGATGCTCTAAAAGGACCCCTTAAGGAAGCCTCCAAAAAGGAACCAGAACACGGACCCCCCAAAACGGAACCCCAACACAAACCAGATGAGCTCCGAGCTTGTCTTCACCTTGGCAGGGACGGGGGGAAGCTGGCTGGGAGGGCCACAGGATTGGGGGTTTTGGGGGTTTACCTGTAGCCGAAAAGACCTACCTTTTTAGGGTTCCTTGTTAAGGTCTCTATAATATGTTCCTCAAACAGGTAGGTCTTTTGGGCCAGAGGTAGGGCTTGGACTTGGAGATTAGACTTTAGGATTGAGGGTTTAGGTTCTGGTCCTGGCGCTTCGGGTAAACCTTACAGTTGCCTACAACCCCTAAGCTGCAAGTAAAAAGAATTGAAATCAGGATTCGAACCTCACATTCAAAACCGGAGCGCGACTGCTACCACCACCCCACTACTACGCCGAGAACCCGACTACCACGACACGACGACAATAACCACGACGACGACGCCGGCATTTGTGGTCGTAGTACACAAAAGTCGCCAACCATACCCAACCTGCGACCCCTGCCCCCTGCCGCGTCAATGCATTAAGCCATGAACTGTCAACGCAACTATAGTTCCCTAAATATTAGGATCCCTATTACGAGGACCCCAAAATAAGGTACCCCCAATTTTCGGAAACTTCCAAGTAATGAACTCAGAGCCGGAGACGTCAAATCATCTTGCAAACTCCAACCGTACTTCTTTTCGGGTTTAGGGGTTAGGGGTTTATTTTTTAGGATTTTAGGGTTTAGGGTTTAGGGTTTGCCGTGGAATAGCACGTAGGCGGTTATATCTTGCGACAAGGCGTCTAAAGCTCCAATATATGCACATGTACCTATATATATATATATATGTATGTATGTATGTATTTGTATTTATATGTACATGTGCATACATATAGATGTACATATATGTATATATGTATGTTATAATATACAGAATGTACATACATATACATATGTTGATATATATATATATATATATGTATATGTACATAAAGACCTTGAAACCCAAAAAGCCCTAAAGGGACACTGTACAACTGTCAAGCAAACCCTAAGAAATCTCTCCATCAGTTCCCTTCGCCCGAGATGGAACCCTAAACCCCAAATCAGCCACGGTTTAGGGTTTAGGGTTTAGGGTTCAGGTTTTAAGGCTTTGGGTAACCCCTAAGATGAACCCTAAACCCCAAGCCCTAAACCCTCCAATGAAATCCCTTACCCTTACTCCCTAAAACCTCAACCCTACATGAACCCGAAACCGGACACCAACGCTGAACGAACCCCAAAACCCTACATTCGCCACAAACGCTGAATAAGCCCTGATTCCCTACTAGCCCTGATTGGGATGGCTTAGCAAGTAGGTAACTACTAGAGTAATAAGTGTCCAAGTGGGCTCCTAATTGGGGCTATGGTACTTATAACTCTGTAAAAAGACTAGTTTAGGGTTTAGGGGTTTAGGGTTTAGGGTTTTAGGGTTTTGGGGTTTAGGGGTTAGGATTTAGGGTTTTGGGGTTTTGGGTTTAGGGTTTAGGGTTTGGGGTTTAGGGCTCAGGGGCTAATTGCTTTCAAAACCCCTCGACCCTCCAAGTAGGACCCCATCAGGTCCAGTCGCCCCAGGACCAGAAGGGCAATCCGCTCTCGCACTTCCCGTGCTGCGCCAGGTAACGTCCCAGGGCCTGCTTGGAAAACACCTGCGCTTGGGGTTTACTTGGAGGTTCATGGGTTGTTTTTAGTAGGGTTATAAGGCCCCTAATAGGAACTATAGTTACCCTACTTATAACCCCAGTTATAACCACCCATGAACCTTCAAGTAGGGGTTTAAGAGTGTTCCTTGAGAGGAACTATGAGGGCTCCTAGTCCTAATTATAAGGAATCTATAAGGGCACTACAAGCTTTGGGTTTAGGGCTGCGGGTTTAGAGTTCAGGGATGAGGGTTTTGGGTTTAGGGTTCAAGGATTGGGATGTTCGGCCTTTTTGGCATAGAAGGTCTGTAAATGCAGGGCTTGATAGGGGTGTCGATCCTGTCGGCTTAAAACTTTGAAGCTTGTGGAGTCTCAGGGTTTTAGGGGCTCAATAATTAGAATAGGGTTTGGGGGCCTATGATACTATAACTACAATAAGGAACCTCCAAAATAGCATAGGTAGCTATCAAGGCCTCTATTTGATAGAACCCTACTAATTGTAGTAGCCCTCAAAAACCCCCCACTTTTAAAGGAACCCTGTAAGGGAACCCTATTCTAAGGACCTTGCCAAGAAAACCAAGGAAGGTTGATAGTATAATAGGTAATTATTAAGGCCGCTATACTAAACCCCCATGAAACCCCCTGTAGTAATGCTTATAAACCCCTTTGCAAGGAACCCTGTGAAGGCCCCTTTTAGCCAAGGCAGGTATGAAGCCTCAAATCCTAAGATGGCTTCCGTGAACTCCTGAGAACTTGGAGTTTCAAGGGTAGTTGCAAGTGGGGTTTTAGGGTTAAGTCTAGGGATCCCTTAAGGGTTCTGTGGGGTTTGGGTTTTAGGGTAGCTATGAGTGGGGTTAGAAGCAGGGTATCTATAGTTCTATAGTTCTAAGCCCTATTAGGGGACTTAGAACCCTACTTATAACTACCCTAAACCCTAAGCCCCTATACCCTAATAGAATCCCTATAGATCCCTTATAAGCCCTACTGGGGGAGTTAGAACCCCACTTATATCTACCCCAGGACCTCCAAGTACCTGTCCTTCGAATCCTCAAAGACTACTTAAAGGATCATGGGACTTAGTAACTAGGGTTAGAATTAAGGTTTCTTATACTTACAGTTACTTATAACCCCAATTAAGGCCATGAACCTCCAACCAAGGCTTCCGTCACCAGTTCAAGTGATGCAAGTTGAAGGAGCCCTGGGGTTTAGGGCTTTAGGGTTTTTTGAGGGTTTAGGGCTTTAGGGCTTAGGGTTTGTTTAGGGTTTAGGGTGTAGGGTTTTTTTTAGGGTTTAGGGTGTTTTAGGGTTCAAGGTTTAGGGTTTTTTTAGGGCTTTAGGGTTTAGGGTTTAGGTTTTTTTAGGGTTTGGGGTTTAGGGCTTTAGGGTTGTTTTTAGGGTTTAGGGTTTAGGGACTGGGTGCAGCCATCAACTCGGACTTGAAAACCCCTAGCCCGAAGACTCTAGACTCTGGGTTTAGGGTTTGGGGTGTGACCCTAAATCAACATTGAGTCGTTGGGGTTCCTTTTATAACCTTAAACCCTACTCTAATTATCAAAACACCCATATTTATAGAACCCTTATAGAGCCCCCGCAGTAGCTCTTATAGAAGCCTTTCAAGACCCCTTACACCAGATAACAAAACTCGCAACTACACCTCCACCAGAGTTCTAACCCCAAATCCAACAACCAAGATTCGTGAACCCTAAACCCTCAGAGCTCTGAACCCTAGACCCGTAGAGCTCTAAACCCTAAACCCTTCGAACTCTAAGCACCTGAACCTTGAGGAGGCCCCACTGCTCTCCCAAAGCTCCATATTAACACCCTAACCCCCTGTAGAAACCGCGAAAGAACGCTTGAAGCAACCCTTTCTTTCAGGGAACCCTAAACCACAGTTGGAGGTTCATGGGTAGTTATAGTGGAGTGATAAGTAGGGTAACTATACTCATGTCTCCTGTTAATACCTCCACTCATATCTACTCATGAACCTCCAAGTAACTCCCTACAGAAACCCCGGATGAACCCTGAAAGCGATCCCTAGCGGAACCCTAAACCTGAACTTTAAGGGAACCCTAAACCCCCCTAAACATCAAGCCGCCATTCTGTAGAACCCGTATAGAACCCTCAAATCCCTATTAGAATCCTCGCAACTTCCACCTCCAGAGCTCCGTACTAAAACCCGTAACTCATACTAGAAACCCCGAAACCCTAAACCCTAATCCTAGCCCTTGAGAGAACCCCTAAACCCCTCTAAAGGATAGTAACTTCCATCTCCAGAGCCCCTACAATCTCGGACCCTCGTAGAACCCTCATACGAACCCTCGTAAGAACCCTTAAAAGAACCCCCTAAAGCCTAAACCCTAAACCCCTAAAAGCCCCATAAGAATCCTTTCGCCTCCAGAGCTCCGTACATCATCGGGTGCCACTTCGCGCAGTTCAGGAAAAAGACGGGCCTCGACTCCAGGCTTGCGCTTCGAGGTTTTGGGGCTTTAGGGCTCCTTTAAAGCGTAGTATAGGGGTTCCTTTAAGGGATCTATAGGGGTTTAAGGTTTTGGGGGTTAGGGTTTGAGGGTTTTAGGGTTTAGGGCTTTGGGTTTTGGGGCTTGGGGTGTACTTGGAGGGTCACGGGACTTAGTGGGCACGGTTATTATTAAGGTAACTATACTTATAACCCCAAGTAAGGTACCTATAACCATACTTACTAAGTCCCATGATCCCCCAAGTAGGGTTTTGGGGTTTTAGAGTTTGGGGGCTTTAAGGTTTTGGGGTTTAGGGCTTCGGGTTTTGAGGTGAAGGTTTGGGGCTTGGGGTGTAGGGCTTTGGAGTTTTGGGGTTGGTGTTTAGGGTCTATAGTAGAAGCCAGAAAGTTGGAACATCATTATCCTCATGCCCTTAAGGTAAAGTATAAGGGATCCTAGCACTAATCCTCCTAAAGCCATGTTCCAACTTTCTGGCTTCTACTGTAGGGGTAAGCAGCTACGCCCTACCTACATGCATCGTGGAAGCAGATCTGGCTTCCAGCAACGATAGGTTTAGGGTTTCGGTTTTAGGATTTAGGGCTTTGTTTAGTACCATTACTCACTCATTAACGTGTAAACGCTGGAAAGCATGCGATGTGCACCTAGATGTCGCTGCTCATGTGCGGTTTGAGTGACGACGGACTGGCCGGCGCGAAAACATTCACGTCCAAACTGTCCACACTAGCCGTGTCCCATCCCGGCGGCGGCCTCTGGAATCATCTGGCTCGACATCGCCTGGCACCGCCTTGCCAATGAATGAAGGTCGTGGCCTCTGAAGCCAATGTAAGTTCTTTCTGGGCCAGCACTGGAAAACCCCGCAGCTCTCCTGACATAAACTCTCGGCCTTGCGAACGGAGCCGAAGAACAGACAAGGGTTACATTAAGCATACTGCAAGGGCCTTAATCATTAGAATAGCGCTTTGGGGCCCATAACTCCCAAAATGGTATATGTAGTTAATAAGGCCCCTATATCACGGAACCCTACTATAGTATCCCTTGTAGAACCCTCTTTAAACCAAGAATTAAGGAACTCCCAAAATAGTATGGGTAGGTATAATTATTAAAGCCCCTACAGGAGTTTCAAACTCCCTTAGGGTTTAGAGTTTAGAGTTTAGGGTTTAGGGTTCAGGAGTTTCGGGCTTCGCCGTTGCTGTATACAGGGTCAGTGATACGCGTGCATGCAACAGAGTTTGACGGTCAGAAATCCTCTAGAAGAGCTGGTTGCGCCTGCTTATCTTCTGCTTCTGACCCCTCCAACTGCATGGCAACCGAAGCCTTAATCCTAGCGCCCCTGAAACAACCAGATTACGCCTCACAAAACCTATATCACATCCTGTAAGACCATGCTTAGCCAGAGTCTTGCGCTTAGCCAGAATCTTGCGAAACCCGAAAAAAATTCTCGGACCCTTCCACACCCCCGTAAATCTTCCAAACCCTCTGGGTGCCCCGGGCTGGCCAACGTGCCAGCTGAGGTGACCGCGCATGCGCTCCGGAAAGAGCACGGCATCTGGATCCACCTCTCGGATTTACAGACCCTATCTAGTTAAGGAACATACCGTAAATTATCCTAGGCTTCATACCATGATTTAACCGATATTCCGAGTTCATTAAGGCCCGTGTTCAGGAGAGGTTTCGGGCTAGGATGGGGGGTCTTTGGGTTTGGGATCGTGGGCTCGGGCTTGGGAGGGCTTTCTAGCATTCCTACTTGTGGAGCATCTTGGGAAACTAAAGGGTCCATTTCTTCCACTGTCTTCCAAGCTTAGGGGTACTTAGAAATACTTTCTAATTTTTGGCTATTATAATCCCTAAGAAACAGCTAAAATTGTACTGTTTGCTAGGGTTCTGAGTTCAGTATAGCAAGGATTGGATCGTAAGACTGGGACTTCCGGGCTAAAACGGTCCATGGAGCCTCTGTTCCGCCTCGGCCCAGCTCCCCCCCAGGCCCTTATCAGTATGACAGCATTGACACAGTTCCTCCCGCAAGAGTTGGTGTTAATGGGAGCCGTTTGGTTGTTGTCGGCCGAGCGCCGACTGAAATCCTTCACGGGTTGTGAGAGGCAAGAAGACAGGCGGATCTACCGTTCCATGCGCAATTAGTCCGTCATTCACTGCAAAGCACAATCCGCCCCGGGGTGCGGGATTCTCAGCAACCTCCTCAAAGCAGCTCCAATAGCTGGGTAGGTCCCTACCAAAGAGGCTACAGTAATTTTTGGGACCCGGGAATATACTTGGATTATATTCGGGATTCTAGTACCCCCAAAAAGTTACAAGGCTACTGTACCTACTCTACGACTAGGACTTTGTCCAAGGGGTTTAAGGTCTGACAGGGCTTAACTGACGTGACGTAGGGGCTTCGTGGGAAAAAGAAGTTTAGCGTCACGGGACTTAGAAAGTAGGGCCTTTATGGGCCGTCTACTGGGTTTAACGGGGATTGCATAACACTCTAGAAGAGATTAATGAGAATCACGGGACTTTGTAAAGATCCTGGTGCTCCAACTGGGGGTTACTGTATCTATCACGACGGATTGCTAGCACGACCGCTACCAAGACCATAAATGCACCGCTACCAACAGCAAAAACTCCCCCCCCAACCACCATCAAGAGTGTTTGCCTGTACCACTCTTGTTATCATCACTGCTACGACCAGACTGACTGCCAGTGAAACATGAGTCTGCGCAGAGACGCACCATAAGTTGTAAGGCAAATGAAACCCTAAGAAAACTTACACCCCGAGAGGCTGCGTTCCACTTGGCTTAGGCTTAGTGGCTTGGGGTTTACGGCTTGTGGCCTTAGGGTTGGAGCGTTTCCGACTTTAGGGCTTTGGTGTTTAGGGTTTAAGGCTTAGGGTTTTGGGTTTAGGGTTAATTAAGGTTTAGTCGGTGTACAGTCAGCTCATAGTGCAGGACATGACTGCCCGCCTTGAGGATTGGGGAACAAGGCATTGGCCGGAATGCTTGCGGGTTTAGCGAGCTAGGGAACCAAGCGAGCTAGGGAACCAATCCAGTAGCGCATCACGCTGCTTAGGCTTAAGATACCCCCACGTAGCCCACGCCAATCCGGCATGCACCCCCAGAGACCCTTGAACACCTACGGCCCTTGTAGACAGCAAGCCACAAAAACCGGAAAGTCCCGCAGTCTTCGACTGCCTAAGCCAGCAAGTCCCGTAAACCCCAGAGCCAAAGCTATTCCTCCCTACCACTGGGAATGTTGAAAGCTACTTACAAGCTCCTTGAATCTTCAAAATGTCGTACTTCGAAGCTGAACTGTGCCGAGGGAGGGAGGGTGGAAAGGTTGGTGAGTGTCGGGTCACCGTGAAGGAGTAAAGGCATTCGGATTACGAGTTTCGTGCCCGCCTTCGCGATAAAGTCGTAGTGCCACCACTCGTTGTTGTTCAATAAGGTCATCCATGTCCTGTGGGTCAGAAAAGGCTAACTGCAGACCCGATAGACCCTCCATGGTTGAGGTTTGGGGTTTGGGGTCCAGAACCCTAAACCATAAAGTAAAAGCCAGAAAGTCGGAATATGATTATCCTAAACTCTTTATGGTAAATTATAAGGTATCCTACCATTAATCCATATTCCCTAAACCCTACACCCTAAACCCTAAACCTTAAACCCCTAAACCCAAAACCCTAAACCCAACACCCTAAACCCAAAACTATATTCCAACTTTCTGGAGTTCCCTTTAGAGTCCAGGCTTCACGGAACCCTCGGCCTGCAGATTCTGGCGAGGCCACCACACCCTAAAATCTTTATCAAAGGCGAAAAGGAGGGACCCTTAATGGGGACCTTTTAAAGGGATCTATAGGGATTCTATAAGGGTTTAGGGTTTAGGGTTTAGGGGTTTTAGGGGGTTTAGGGGAAAAGGAGGGACCCTTAATGCGGACCCCTACCCTATAATGGGCTATATAATGGGTATATACTAGCTATATTAAGGGTATACCTAAGGGTCCTAATTCAGGGTCCCTCCTTTCACCCTTGGATTTACGAAATCACCAAGGTATGACTGCAGGCCAACAAGGACTCAGGAGACAGGTGGATAGGGATTCACTAACATCACCCTTCTAAGCCCCGTTTCTTAAAGCCCTGCAAAACCCAGATCCCTAAGTCCTAAGAGGTAAACCCCAAACGCTAACCTCTAAACCCTAAGCCCTAGACCCTAAACCCTAGACCCTACACCATAAAAGCCCTAAGAGGTAAACCCTAAACCCTATGCGCTAAACCCAAAACACAAAACCCTGGACCCCGACACCAAGCCGAAGCCTCATGAACACCTGCGAATTCGCAGCCGTGTGGTCTACCTGGGCTGATTTAGGGTTTAAGGGTTTAGGGATCACTTCGAGTGCAACTGCACGGATTTAGTCGGGGGCACCTTTTGCCGTCTGCCCGAAAGTGCGCAGACTCTTCATATCGGAGAGGGTTGCCGTAGGGCTGATTTGGGATCTAAGAGTTTACAGGTTTAGGGTTTCGGAATTGAGGTCTAGGGGGGGCTCCGAAACATTCATGAACGTGTTTTGTGGCTCGGCAAGGTGCAGTAACTATACCCCCCTTAGAACCACAATAAAAATACTATGTTTTAATATTCTCTTGGGTTTAATATACGAACAAAACAATTTTTTTTAAAAAAAACCTAAGGATACTATAGAATACAGAAACTCTCCAAGCCCGAACCCTCAAGGCCCAACTGCAGACGCTAAAGGCCCAAACTCTGTTCCCTGAAACCCAAAGCCTGTAATGTAGGAGCCTGATTAAGAAACCTTGGGCCTTTATTAGGGTTCCTTATATGAATCCTTCTGTTTTGGGGTTATAGGCCCAGGGTTTCTTAGTTAGGTTCGTACATCAAAAACTAAAACTCCAAGGAAGCTCTCCAAAAAAGAGCATAAGCAAGCCGCAGAAAACCCGACCTCGCATGCTGCCAGGCAGCAGACAGTCCTGAATCTGTATTTCCGATAGGGATCGTCCTCCGAAAAGACAGCAGATTCAAACCCAAAAGCATCAGAACTCTCGCGGATGTGAGGGTTTCAGATTGAAAGGGGTTTCCAAACCAGTCGCAAACCTGAAAGAATGTATACCAGACCCCTATATGCGATGCCTGCAAACCAAAACCTGACAGGGCATACGGTAAATTCCCGTCAGAGCAACCGACAGACTCAAAACTACCTTAAAACTTAAACCCCGAGCAAACCCTTTTAACAAAAAGCTTGTATCTTGAATCATTACAGAACGCTCGCAATCCTGTATGAAAAACCCGGAACCATAGACCCTTCACCGTAAACCGTCTTGTACCTACAGTAAAAGCCAGAAAGTTGGAATATGATTATCCTAAACCCTTTATGGTAAATTATAAGGTATCCTACCCTGAAACCATATTCCAACTTTCTGGAGTTCCCTTTAGAAGGGCTTTTTGGGCCCCTCAGAGCCGCTGCGCAGGGGCTGTCGCTTCTGAGGCTTTCAGCTTGGATCCAAAACCCCACGCACAAAGGTATGGGGTTCAGGGCCCCGGGTGTAGGGTTTAGGAGTTTAGGATATGGAATGTAGGGCTTTTTTTGAATTTTGGAGTGTAGGGTTTAGGATTTTCGGATATAGAGCGTAGGGTTTAGGGTTTAGGGCTCAGGGTTTAGGGCTTGAGAGTTCGGGCCAATAGCTGCACGGTACGACCCCGAAGCCCAAACCTCTGAACCTTGACCCCAGAACCCGATACTCCCAAACACTCCAACAGTTTCGACACCATATAATCATCCTATGAATGCCGTTGGTATGCGTTCACCTATCAAACCCTATGCTGATGATTGCCGTGAACGTCCCATAAACAAACCCATCAACCTTATCGTAATTACTATGGCGCGCAAACCAGCCTGATGCCGTCGATGGTGGTATTCGTGTTGCTGTAGACGGCATGCCTGGGCGTGAGCTTTGCTAACTGCGTGTTCAGGGTGCAGGGGTTTACAGGAGTTTATTCGTGAATATGTTATGCGGTTTACAGGGCTTAGGAGGAGTGCGCCACATGCTATAGGCAGTGAAGCTTCCTGGCAATGTGACAAAGATCTAAGCACTAGCTAGACATCCAGCGTCGCAGCAGAACTCCCGCTACCGACTGTTTTGGGGCGCCTATACGGGTCCACATGTACTGTCTTGTTGGGTTCGGGGCTAACCAAACCGTATCCCCAAAGCCCAAAATACAAAGCTTTATCTAACCAGTTGTTTTGGGGGGTTCCCTTGGCTCTTTAGCTCCTTATTTAAAAGGAGTTATCATCATCCCTGGCTCCTTAGCTCTTCCAATATCAATGGTTAGTATAATTCGAACAGGGTTTTGGGGTCCTCTATACTATGGACATCAGCCAGGCGTGACCTCCCGGTTGGTAAACCGAAAAGAACCCTAAACCCTGTACTAAACCCGAAAAGAAACCCTAAATCCTCTACTAAATCCTAAAAGAAACCCTAAACCCTCTACTAAATCCTAAAAGAAACCCTAAACCCTCTACTAAATCCTAAAAGAAACCCTTATGAAAAAAGAAAAACAAAACCCAAAGCATTAAAACTTGCCACCGGCCTGAGGGGTCGTGCCCACCAAATGTTGTCAAAGCACCCTAAGCACCCTACGGAATCGTCATGGTATCTGTGAGGTTGGGGGTTAGGGGTCTAGGGCCTTTAGGGTTTAGGGTTTGAGGTTTAGGGGGAAGTTTCGGGGCGAGGATGCCCCGAACCCGAGCCTGCTGTGGCCCTGTACTCAAATCAGAAAAAGTGCTCTAAAATTAAAAGGGACCGAAACCCTAAACCTCAAACCCTAAACGGCCCTAAACCCTAAACCTCAAACCCTAAACGGCCCTAAACCCTGAACCTCAAACCCTAAAAGGCCCTAAACCCTGAACCTCAAACCCTAAAACCCCTAAACCCCAGAAACCCCCCAAACCCCAAACCCTAAACCCTTAACCTCAAACCCTAAAACCCCTAAACCCCAGAAACCCCCAGAAACTCTAAAAGGCCCTCGACACCCCAAAAGTCCCCGTGCGGCCGGCGCGCCCATCGCAGGCGAAGATGCCAGTCCCGGACTGGCGCTGCATGTACATGGTGTCCTGGTTTTGGGGTTCCTTTAAAGGGTACTATAGGGGTTCCTTTCAGGGATCTATAGGGGTTTGGGGTTTTGGGGTTTTAGGGTTTTGGGGTTTAGGGTTTAGGGTTGAGGATTAGTGGTATGGTGTCCTGGTTTTGGGGTTTAGGGTTGGCTTTCGGGTACATGGTGTCCTTGGTTGGGGGTGGGTACATGGTGTCCTGGTTTTGGGTTTGGGGCTTGGGGTCTAGGGTTTAGGGTATAGGGTGTAGGGTTAGTGGCTAGGGATTTAGGGTTTGAAGTGGTTTAGGGTTTAGTTTAGGGCTGTCTTTTAGGGGTTTGGGCTTCGGTTTTTTATCTTAGGGGTTTAGGGTTTTCGGGCATAGGGTTTGGGGCTTAGGGCTTAAGGCTTAGGGCTCAGGGTTTAGGGTGCAGGTTCCCTGAGATGAAGCTATATTGCTAAACCCTAAACCCTAAACCCTAAACCCTACCCTAAACCCTAAACCCTAAACCCTAAACCCTAAACCCCTAAACCCCTAAACCCTAAACCCTAAACCCTAAACCCTAAACCCTAAACCCTAAACCCCTAAACCCCTAAACCCCTAAACCCCTAAACCCCTAAACCCCTAAACCCCTAAACCCCTAAACTAGCTTCTGCGAGACTATCTCGGATCCCGGGCCTTCGGGGCCTTCGGAGCTGGGTTGTATGATACTTGAAGGCTCATGGGACTTAGTAAGGGTTCCTAAAGGGCTCCCTAAAGGGATCTATAGGGCTCCTTAAAGGGGGATCTATGGGGTTTAGGGTTTAGGGCCTACTTGAAGGCTCATGGGACTTAGTAAGTAAGGTTATAAGTAGGTTATAATTAGGATTACCCCACTTAGGGGACTTATAACCCCCATTATAACCTACTTACTAAGTCCCATGATCCTCTAAGTATGGGAGTTTCCGAACATAGGGGGACCCTGATATAGCTTCCGAAATAGTAGGATCCAAAGTGTAAGGACCCCAAAATAAAGCACCCCTAATTTCGAAAACTCCCATATGGGCTGAGGGGGTTAGGATGGCGAAGTTGGGACGAAAAGCTCGTAGGGGGCTTAATAATTACCTATACCTGGACCCTACGGAAACTACCTTTTTAGGGTTCCCTAATATGATTTCTTTATATAAGTCCTTGAAAAGGTAGGTTACGTGCGGTTAAGGTACTGTTAACGGGTTCCTTATCTTAATTATAGTATAATGGGCCCCAAAACCCTATTCGAATCATTAAGGCCCCTATATAAGGCCACAATTCGGCACCTTGAGGCCTCCCTCAGGGGAAACGATAAACCCCAAACCCTGAACCCAAAGGTTAAAGGTTACCGAATAAAACGTTTCGAAAATCTGAAGCCGAGCCCGCGACGATCTCGGTTCCCGCCCGGGCCACTGAGAAGCCTCGGTTTTTGGGCTTTGGGGCGTTCGGGCTTTTAGGGTTTAGGGTATAGGGTTGAAGGCTTTTTGTGGAAGGCCCCTTTTCAGTCAGGGTTTAGGCCTGGTTTTCTGTAAGTTTTAGGGTTTAGGCTTCAGGGTTTAGGTAGGGCTTTGGGGCTTTCAAGCTGGGATGCGCCACTCTCGAAATGCTTCCGCGAAGGCAGCACTGCCGAACACGGTCAGCAAGCTACCGTTTACCAGCCGCTGCTATGGCTCCCGAGTCCCCTGGAGGATGCGGAGTCCTGCGACCCGTCGCCGGGCAAGTTGGCCAGGACTGGAGCCTGGGACCCATGTCCCGTAGCAGGCGCCGGACATCGTAGCCGTCAAGATTGGTGCGGCCTTCAAAGTTCAGCTGAACCCGCTCCCGCAGCAGCTGGTCGGCGGCTAAGCCTAAATCCTCGCAGCTTCTCGCCAGTTTGAGGGTTGTACACCTTTTCGTCCCCAAAGGATCAAGGATTCCGATTCAAAGGGTTCTGACACTCGGGAGCCATACCACAAAACCCTCCAGACCCTTACAGTACCCCTATAGAGCCCTTTTAAAGGAACCCTCAGAATCCCCCTGTAAAGGAACCCCCAAGGTTCTACTAGCGAACCACCCTGCGAGCGAGGATTGAAACGAAAATCCTACCCTTAAGGGTTCTGTGCTGATGTCCTTTAACTCTCCGAAACCCCTAAACCCTAAACACAAAAGCCTAAAGCCAACAGCTTAGACCTTCAACCTAAACCCAAGGCGTGTCTTTTCTTATCATTGAGCAGAACGCGGGGGCGGGGGGGTTGGGGAGGAGGGGTTTCAGAGCGGCGTCAGTTCTCAATCAAGTTCATGCTACTTGGGCTTATAAAGGATGGTCTAGGATGGCTTAGGATGGTTTGGGGTTTAGGATGGTCTATAGGGTTTAGGGCTTAGGGTTTAGGATGGTTTGGGATGATTTAGCTACTACTACACATTTCATGGTCTTCCTTCTGCTGGTAGCATGCTGTGCGCACTACTCAGAGAACCCAATACCCGTTAATCAAGGAATATACCTTACATTATAGGGGCCTTACTATCATGATTTAAGGTATATTCAGTATATTCCTTAATTAAGGGGTATTGGGATCTCTGGGTACTCTGTCTGCTCCGCTGTTGCTACAGCGATGGATGGATTGGTGGGCACGTCTTTGGCGTCCTCGCTCTTCTTGCTGTAACTACGATCAGTGCGCCTCCGCCTTGCTAGTGTGCTGGCCATGAGCGCCGCTTCCTAACTTTGTTACTGCTATGATGGCTCCGTGCTTAATGTAGAATCCCGAATAATTGCCAGCATGGGGCTCCTTATTCCTATACCCCCCCGTGGAAACGTAGTTTAAAAACTATGGCTCATATGCTCTTGGGTTTTATGTGTTCCAAAATGGAAAATAACTCCTAAGGAGACTATAGATTCTACTTCTAGCACAACATACCCCAAAACCCTGTTCTAATTATCAAGGCCCCTGTTTTGCCAGTATCGGTATTACTAGTGTTGCTACTTGTTGGATGATCATTCCTGGTGCTACGATTACAAAATTATGCATCAAGCCAGCATTTCTACCACTGCTATCCATGTAGGCGACTAAGAAGAAGCTGCTACAGATCCTTGCAAATGGCTGAAGGGGACTTAGACGATTGCCATGACCTCTATACTTTAAGATGCTAAGCCCTATTCTTCTACTGCTCTTGCCATATGAATATGAGGCTGCGCGTGACAAAGAAGCTACAATTCCACGTGAAGGTTGCTCAGGTTTGGCGTTTTTCGAGACTTCAAGCATAACACCTACTAGCTTCAGCAAGTACCAGGGGCCCCAACGATACACCCTAATGAGTAGGCTGATTACCCCAAGCCCCTGGATAATGAATAGGGAACTCTGATTGTTTCTCCAAAACCCTAAACTCCTAAACCCTAAACCGGCAACTTTCTCCCAGTCTTCATATTTGGGGTTCCCTCAGCCCTAAACCCTAAACCCAAAGGCCAGCCAGGGGGCAATAGATGGATGGCGACCCTTTGGCCTTCTTCGCTGGGACGGGATATGCCTGGGAACGGTTGATGATATAAATCTGACTTTACCCATAATGAGGAATGTGAAAGGGAGCTATAGGGGTTGCTTTAAAGGGATCTATAAAAATGCCTTCAAGGGGTTTCTTTAAGGGATCTATAGGATCCTGCATTACCTTAATGACCCTAGACTATGGGAATTATGGCATTATCCTCATTATGGGTAGTTGACAAAATTATGGCCCCTTCTTGGGTTCCAATTATAATACGGCACCTAAGATTTAGGGCACCCAAAAAGGGACCCCAATTTTGACAACCACCCTTATGGGTAATGCAGGATCGATATCATCAACCGAAGAAGTTGCCGTGGCTTAGACTCCGCTTTGGCAGGCTGCAGAGCCTGAAACCTAAACTTTCAACCTTCAACCCTGAACCCTAAACCCTAAACCGTAAACCTTGAACTTTCCCTGAACCCTAAGCTTTCCTTAAACCCTGAACCCTGAACCCCTAATGCTAACACCCCTCAACCCTAGCCCTAAACACCTATACCCTAAACCCTAAACCCCTAAACCCGCAAACCCCTAAACCCCGAGACCCCTTAACCCCTATAAACCCTATAAACCCGAAACTCTAAACCTAGAGCCTGCTAGACTCCCTGTGAAAACTGTTACAGACTCCGGCAAACAGCTCGAAATCGCCATGAAGGCCAATAGCACCCCTTTTGAAAACTCTGTAGAATCCTGCCAAACCTATCAAAAACCACAATAGAACCTGTAAGATCCCAATCCGAGGCCCCAAAGCCCCTAAACACGAAGCCCCGAAACCCGAAATCCGAGAAAGCCAACCTTCACCACCCTAAACCCTAAAACCCTAAAACGCTAACACCCTAAAACCCTGCAACCCTAAAGCCCCTAAATAAAACCCTAAGACCCTAAAACCCTAAGACCCCAAAACCCCAAAACCCCAAAACCCTAAAACCCCCAAACCCTAAAACCCTAAAACCCTAAACCCCTATAGATCAATGAAAGGAACCCCTATAGTACCCTTTGAAGGAACCCCTGTACTACCTTTTAAAGGAACCCCAGACCCAAAGCCGGTATCCTCTACCTGCTCCAAAACCCCTGCCTCGTCGAAGCACGGCTTCGGGCACTCCGCCTGCCTCGGTTTCATCTTCCCAGTTTTGGGGCTCATAGGGCTTATAGGGAAACCCAGAGAGCCCAACACCCCGTAATTAAGGAATGGAGCTTAAATCATAATTTATGAAGCCCTATATAATTTAAGCAATACTCCTTAATTAAGGGGTATAGGGTTACAGGGAAAGCTTAGGGTTTAGGGAAAGTTCGGGGTTTAGGGTTTAGGGAAAGGTTAGGGTTTAGGGTTTAGGGAAAGGTTAGGGTCCAGGATAAGGCTTCGGGTTTAGGGTTCACGGTTCTGGGTTCAGGGTTTAGGGAGGGTTCTACTTGATAAGGATTTACAGGATTTGATATAAGTGCTTCAAGAAGTTTTTGACCCGCGGCTGAATGAGATCCTGATTCTTTCCTTGCTCCTCCTTTTCGCAGAAGGGCTCCGACGCCAGCCTCTCATAGATTGAAAAGCCACCGCAACCCCAGACATCCTTTTTCAGGACTTACTTGGCGGGTCGGGGGACTTAGTAACTGACTATTTTAGGGACTTATAAGTATCATAACCCCAATTAGGGTCCCTTTTAGGGTACTTATAAGTCTACTTACTACCTACTTACTGAGTCCCCCGACCCTCCGAGTATATAAGGAAATCATATGAAGGAACATTAGAAAGGTAGGTATCTTGGGGTCCAGGTACTTCAATAGTAGGCCCGCCGGAGGGGAGTGGTGTCTTACAAACGGCTCAGCGCTTCGTGTCTCGGGTTTCGGGTTGAGGTTCAGGCTCTAGGGTGCGGGGTTCAAGGTTTAGGGTTTAGGGTTTAGGGTTTCGGGTTGAGGGTTTAGGGTTTAGGGTGTCGGGTTTAGGGTGTCGGGTTTAGGGTTTAGGGTTTAGGGTTTCGGGTTTAGGGTTTAGGGTTCATGGAGGGTTTCGCAGGCTCTGGAGAGATTTGCCTTTCGGGTGCAGGGTTTTCCGACAATCAAGTTGCCGCAGGGGCTTCGGGTCTGAGTGTTAGGGCTGAGGCTTGGGATTCAAGAACTTCAGCGTTGCAGTTTAGGCTCTGATATAAAGACCTTAATGCTTGAAATAAGATTCTGGAGAATATTAGCGTGTAGTTCAAACTATCAAGGGATCTTGAACCCTAAACTTTACCTCGGGTTTAGGGGCTTAGGCTCTAAACTCTATTCCGAAGCCTATATTCCTCTTGTTGATTCCGGCCGTTATGTTTTGGAGATCTCTTCTTTTCGCTGCTTGCTTCAGGTACGTAATATATGGGCCTTAGTAGTAAGAATAGGGTTTTGGGGCCCATTATACTATAGCTATAATAAGGAACCCAACCGAATAGTATAGGCAATTGTTAAGGCCCCTATATTAGTCCCGGACCCCAAATCCACACCATTAGCGACATGGGCATCCAGTTGCGTGAGGAGTTGGGATTGGTGTGGAGTAACCGCAGCAGCTGGCATGATTCTAGTGATCTGGCTCACCGACAGAGCGGGGTTGAAGCTTCAGACCACACATTTTTCCTCCTTCTTCCGCCTCTTGGCTTCTCGCTCGGCTTTGGCAGCCCCTTCGAACGCGGCCAGCGTCCAGATGTTAGGAATCCAAGCTGGGTCCTGGCACCAGCGGCAGCCGTGTCGAGGAGACCAAGTGAATCCCCGGGTACGGCTCCGCTACCATAAGAAACTTTTGTCACTCGTGAGCACTGAGCACTAAAAGCCTTCGGTCGGAAACGTGTTTTCTACAAGTGCACTGCAAAACGGAGCGCCCCGTCCCCCATCCATGCTCTGCAGCCCGGAACTTCGGTTGGCTCCATGCAGAGGAGGTCTCGGCAAGCAGACATGCGCGGCGGCACTTGCAGTTCCTGCTCCTTCATGCTCGCGACCAGGGAATACTTGTTGCTAATTCTTCAGACGCCTGTCTCACACCCTCGGCCCTAAACCCTAAACGGAGGGTGGCTCAACCCTCAATCCTGGCCCCAAAGTCCTAAAGCCCAGTCTTCTAAGGACCGCGCAGACGGCCGAAAAGTTCCGGGGTCTTAGGGGTTCGGGGGTTAGGAGTTTAGAGCTTTAGGGCATTGGGTTGTGCTGAGGCTGTGGGATTAGGATCTAGGATTTGTGGCTTCGGGTAAAAGGCGTTGCATTTCGAATCTGATGTCAAGGGCGTCGGGTTAAGGGTGTAGGGAATAATATCTGAAGTTTGGGGGTTCGATTTGACGGCTCAGGGTTGTGTGTTTAGGAGACCGCTGCAAGCCAAGGAACTTCGTGTCGTGGAGCCACTGCTGAATGGTCGCGCGGTTCGAACCCCTCGCGGATTTCGTGGGTTGATGTTGGGTCCGAATAGACCCTAAACCCGAAACCCTGAACCCTCAACCCTCATACTAAGGATCCTTCTGGATCTTTTTGGCATATTGAACGCTTACCGCACTTTGTAATCTCTGGGTCTAGGATGTACTACGAGTATCTATCTTCCATGGGCTACAGTAGAAGCCAGAAAGTTGGAATATCATTATCGTAACCCCTTTAAGTAAATTATAGGGGATCCTACCATTAATCCATATTCCAACTTTCTGGAGTTCCCTTTGCGTGGAAGCACAGACTTTCAACCCTAAACCCTAAAGCCTAAACCCTAAACCCTTGGATCAGGGCCTTCGGATCTACGGCTAGGGGTCTTGCAGTGATGCAGGGGCCTGAAAAGTTAGAATAGGGGTCCTTTAAGGGTTCCTTTTAAAGGGGTCTCTAAGGATTACTATACGGGGTATTGTAGGGGCCTGAAAAATTAGAAAAAAGTTTTGGGCTCCGTTATAGTATAGTTCTGACAAGGAACCCTCGGAATGATATATCGGGAGTTACTTAGACTTGTACCTTGGGGTGCCTTGGTCTTTTAGGGAAGGGAACCTGCACCACCGAATTCGAGCAGGAACTACCCGCGAAGGTGTACTTCTTCTATTTGAAGGATCAAAGAACCTGGAAAAAGGCTGTCTGCATCGAATTTGCGGTTGATCTGCTACGGTTGAAGGTCTGGGTGTGCGCGGGTGGCTCCTGACTTTAGGGCTTGGCTGCGAAGTTTGGGGGGTTCGATACTTTGGGCTTGGAATGGTCAACCTGTTGAAAAAGTGATACTTTAGGGGTGGTATGCTGGGCTTCTCAGGTTTCACACGGCTAGGAAGAGTGAAGCAGTTGGGATTGGGAATTGGCCTACGACATAGGATTTACGCTTACTTGGTTCGTGGGTAATTATAAGCCGGGTTATGCATCCCCGAGTATGTGGGAGTAGTAATTATAGCTACCCTACTTACAACTCCACTTATAACTGTCCAAAAAACCTCTAAGCAACCGGGGCAAGGCATCTATAAGGGTTCCTTCAAGGGTTCCTTGCAGGATTACTTTGGGGGAGCTACAAGGTTCCCTTGAAGGGCCCCTTTAAGGGATCTACACGGTTACCCGGGTACCGGAAGGGGCCCCCAATGCGAGGGCCTCCAGACACCGTGGGGGTAGCCCCCAGGGTTCTCGACGACTCCGATCCACTTGTGCCACAGGACCTCAGGCGACCGCAGAGCTTTTTGGAGCTCTGGGGGGTTCAGGGTTTGGGGTTTTTGGGGTTTTTGGGGTTTTGGGGGTTTAGTTAGGGTTTGGGGATTAGGGGTAGGGTTTAGGGGAGCTCTTGGGGGTGCAGGGGGTTATGAAGTTATGTGGGTGTTCAGGGTTTGTGTGTGGCTGGCCTTGAGGCGTATGTGAGGTTCAGTGCGCTTTGGGGCTTTCAGGTTTTGCTAAGGGCCTTGGGATTCTAGATTCGTGATTAATGGCGTTGATAAGGCTTGGCTTGGTGCAATACTATTTTGGTGCTTCCTTAATTTTACTTGCAGTACGCACAATATACCCCAAAACCCTCTTTTAGTTATCAAGGCCTCTATATCAGCTACACCCTATAGGATGCCTTGCCCATCCGGGATCCCCTGCGTGAAGGTCTGAAAGCCAACTGCACAACCTCAAAGCAACGCCCGCACCAGAAGCCCTGCACCAAGCCTTAACAGGTAGTCGAAGCCGTGAGAAACAAGTAAAGCTGCTGGTGATGCGATGTTGGTGATCATGATGACGGCGATGACGAGGACGATGACGATGACGACAGTGATGGTGAGGCTGCTGACAATGGTGGTGGTGGCCATGACGATGATGATGATGCTGCTGGTGCTGATGGTGGTGATGGTGGTGATGGGGGTGATGGGGGTGATGGGGGTGATGGTGGTGATGGTGGTGATGGTGGTGATGGTGGTGATGGTGGTGATGGTGGTGATGGTGGTGATGGTGGTGATGGTGGTGATGGTGGTGATGGTGGTGATGGTGGTGATGGTGGTGATGGTGGTGATGGTGGTGATGGTGGTGATGGTGATAGTGATGATGATGATGATGTTGGTGATGATGATATTATGATAACGACGACGAGGGTGCTTTCGATGTGGTCTGATCTATGTAATTGCCATGGGTTGCTCTTTCTATCATCGGCGTTCGATCGTTCAGATGTTACTGCTGTCGGTTGATGCATGTGGTTGCGTGTGGATTCACGTCGTTGCCAATAATACTTCTGTTACCCCAGTTGAAACCTTAAAGTCAAAGCCTGATCCCTAAACCTCAAACACTTACAGCAATCCCAATGCCACCCAGGGCACTGCGTTGTAGCATGCTTCGCCTTGAACGGCATTGCGGCACGCCCTCAGATTGAGTGGAAGGTCCCTCTGTCCTAAGGCGCCCTAAGAACCCTTGAACACTTGCAGAACCCCGTTACACAGAACCCCATAAGAACCTTTCAAGAACCCGTGCGAGCCCTAAAACCCTGAAATCCTAAAGCCCTGACCTTAACACTGAATAACCTACCTTTTTAGGGTTCCTTATTATAAGGTAGGTCCTTCAGGGTTAAGGGAAGCTTTACAACCGTCATCCCACAAGTTCCGAGCCCTAAACCCCCCCAAGCTCCCGCTCGCCTGCTTTAGGGTTTAGAGGGCTTTGAGCTTTGAGGGCTTAGGATTCTTGAAGCTTGGGGCTTACAGGGCATAGGACGTCAGGGATTTAGGGCCTAGAGAGTTACAGGTTTGAGATTTAAGGGCCTTCGTTCGGTGTTCCTGTTAGGGGACAAACTCAAAATACTTCACATAATCGCGCCTTCGCGTTGCAGCTTCGGGTCACAAGTGCGAGATGTATGAAGGTGGCTTAGAAGTATGCCGGGCTTGTTGGGTTCAGGGCTTCGGGTTTAGGGCTTTGGAACAAGGGCTTTCTGGGGTTTATAATGGATGTATAAGGCTTCCTGGATATACGAAAATTTTGGGGTCTTTGTAAGTAGCCCCGAAAACAGGTTCTTGGCGTCGAAACCCCCATTTGGGGACTTGCCAGCCGATCGCTTACCTACTTACTGGGTCCTTGAATGATTCTCTTCTTCGGGGCCCGACCTGTGAGCTGAGCCGAAGGTGTTATGCCCTAAACCGCAAAACTATTTTCTAACCCCAAAACTTCTGATACAACCCTCATCGAACCCTAAACCTCTGAACCCAGCTGCTTTGATGCTCCCACGATACTTTCAATAAGGCCCAAGTAGCGAGGCAGGCGTGGCGTTGCTGGCCTTTGTGACGTTGCTGTGGGCCTTTGCGGCCTGCACGCGAAGGTGGGGGCGGGCATGATGTCGGAGCCTTAATGATGAGAATTGGGCTTAGGGCTCTACCCACGTTTATATAGTTGGGTGTTACAGATTCTTGCATTAAAAACCTCAACACTGAGACCGCCGGTTTGAGGTATGGCATAAGATTCTTACACAGAGATTGCCGGGGTTATAGGGGATATCATACGAGATCAGACACCTACGGCAAGGTTAAAGGTGCCGGGGGGTGACAGCTGTTACACTCTAAACACAACCTGAATTTCTAGACTCCACCTTTCGTCCTCTCGCTGCGTGAATTCTGGCTCCAACGGCACACCCGTCAAAAGCCGCCGAGTAAGCAAGTTGATAACGACGTTCAATGGCAAGCGAAACCTCTGAGGGAAGCGCAGCAGACTTCTTCGGGCCAGCAGCCTCCGCCTTGGCCTTTGCATTCGCACTGCGATCATGTTGTGAATCAGCGGTTAAAGAGGCGATGCAAAGCCTGCAAGGGCGAGCTACGGCTCTCACCTCGGGGTCCATCATGGCGATGGAACGGTAGAAACGAGGGTCGAGGAAGTCTTGGTGCGTCTCGACGTGGACACATCTTTACATGACAGGGAAACCCTAAACCCTATCCACATGGGTGGTTGTCAAAATTGTGGTCCCTTTTTGGGTACCCTAAATATTAGGTGCCGTATTAAGATGGGGACCCAAAAAAAGGCCCCTAATTTTGACAACCACCCATACTCCTTAATTAAGGGGTATACTTTGACCCTAAACCCTAAACCCCTAAACCCCTAAACCCCTAAACCCCTAAACCCTAAACCCCTAAACCCCTGAACCCCTAAACCCTAAAACCCCTCCTAAACCCCTAAACCCACATGACAGGGAGCGTCTGAGCCGTGTTGGCATGAAGCCCCAGGCGGCGGACGAGGATTACTTCTTACTGCCTGCTTGGAGGTTCATGGGTAGTTATAAGGGTTCCTTTTAAGGGTCCCTTTAAAGGGATCTATAGGGATTCTATAAGGGTTTAGGGTTTAGGGCCTACTTGGAGGTTCATGGGTAGTTATAAGTAGGGCTATAAGTCCCCTAATGTGGCTGATAGCTACCAGTTACCCTACTTATAACCCCACTTATAACTGCCCATGAACCTCCAAGAATTCAGGCCCCTGCCATCCCCTGCAGCCCTGAACCCTAATCCTTAAACCCCAAACCCTAACCCCTAAACTCTAAAACTCTAAACCCTGATCTGAACCCTAAACCCTATAACCCGTATAGTACCCCCAGAGGAACTCTGGGTTATGTAAACCCTAAGCCCGAAATCGTCTACAGGATTTCAGATCCAGGCTGCTTCCTTAAGCCCTGATGCCTATGACCCTGCCTCCCAAACACGGTTTAGGGTTTAGGGTTCTCGGGCTGGTATCCCAAAACCTAAACCTCTCGACCCCCGAACCTGCAACACTTCATAGAACCCTTAAGGACCCCTTACAAAACGCTACTAGCGAAGCCCTCTTCCCCAAGCCAAGGCTTTAGCCAAGTTGAAGCAACTTTCGGAGGCTGAGGGTTTCGGAGGACCCTACCTTATTAACTCATCAAAAACCTACTTTTTTGAAGCAGGGTCCGCATACAACCCATATGAGGCTTTAGAATGAGAGCCTACGAAACAGCAGGGCTTCGTAGGTGAAGGTAGAAGTCGAGGCTCGCCAGGCTGATCCCCTATAGGAAACTCCAGAAAGTTGGAAAAGGGTTTCATGGTAGGATACCCTATAATTTACCATAGAAGGGTTAGGATAATCATATTCCAACTTTCTGGCTTTTACCTTAAAGCCAAACGAGTTGAAGAGCTCAGGGTCGGCGGGTTTGGGCTTTAGGGTTTCATATAGGGGCCTTGATAATTAGAATAGGGTTCCTTTAAGGGTTCCTTTCAAAGGGGCTTATAAGGGTTACTATAAGGGGTATCATGAAGTTTTATTGAAGGGGCCTTAATAATTAGAATAGGATTTTGGGGTCCGTTTTCCGATAATGCTAAAAGGAACCCCCAAGATAGTATAGGTAATTATTAACTAAGGCCCCTATATTAGGGGTTTAGGGTTTTGGGCGTACGTACTAAGTTTAAGGCATGTTTGGGCTTGGGGCATTGAGGTTTCCGGCTGGGGCCCCCTTCGAGGAATCCCTCAGCCCGCACAAGCCCCAACCCTAAACCCACAAACCGAAACCCTAAACCCGAAACCCGAAACCCCAAAAAAACCCTAAAACCTCCCCTCCCCCGGGAGAGAAGGGTCTGCGGTTGAGGATCCCCACCCTCATTTCAGGGATCTTCGCTTGCTGAAGGGCCGTCGGGATCTCTTGGGAACCTAAATCCCTTCAAACCGAGAAGCTATAGCCTCAGCCCTAAATCAAGCAACATCCATGCAGTAGCCTAGCCCCAAAACCCCAAGCTCTAAACCCTGATAGGGTTTAGGGCTTAGGGTATGCAAACTCTGAACCTTAATGGGGTTTTGGGTTTAGGGTATATAGGGTTTAGGGTATGCCGATTTAAGAAAGACATGCCCCAGGCCACCTCGTGGCTACCGTGGCTGCTAGCACGCAGCTGCTTCGCGGCTTTTTCCTGGACATCGCTAACATCAGCCAGCTTCGGCCAATGTTCAGAGACCCCAAACTCTCAAAGCTAAGCTCTCAACCTTTAACCCCGCCCTAAGGCTTCAGGTGCGAGGTTCCAAAAGGAATCGAGGGACTGCATCGGGCTTTCTATGCGATTTGAAAGGGCTCTTGGTGAGTCCTGCGAACTTTGGATTTAAGGGATCTTGGATGTTGTGAAAACCCTCCCAGACACAACGAGTCGAACACGCCCCAGAAAACAAACCCACGGAACTTGCCTGAAGAAGCACAGTATACCCATGTTGATGGATGTCTACCCCTCAAACCCAACATGCTTTTAGGATGGGACTCCTGCTTGTCCGGCCACTAAATTCTATTGAAACCGTGTACTTGACGGTACGACCTCAGAAAACCCCAGAAAAGAACATGACCAGTCACTGACCCTATACTCCAGATAGACTCTTAAAGCCCTAAACCCTAGACCCTAGATCCTGAACTCTAAACCCCAAAGCCCAAGGACCCTAAACCGTAAACGACCTAAAGCAAAAACTATAGCCCCCCCCCCCCCCCGGGCCTTTGCAACCAGCTGAAGCCAAGAAGGCTCGTTTGAGCCCTGGGCAGAGCTTTGGGTCAGACCAACGGGGCTTCTTAGGTTTTCCGGCTTTGGGTTTTTTTGTAGGGTTTCCGGTTTTGGATTTTTTTGCAGGGTTTGTTTAGATATTTTCTTGTAGGGTTTACGGTTGTGGAGGTGGGTGGTCCCAACAGATTGAAGTTTGTGCTTGGAAGCTGTAGCAAGCAGTCAAGAACTCGGGATAATGCAGGCGCCTTCGTATTTCGAGTAGGTGGCGTCATGTTTTATCTTTAGAATACGGAACCCCCAGGAATAGTAGCCTTCACATTATCGAACCGGGCTTGGAGGGGGAATCTGATCTTTAGAAACGGAACCCTAAGGAATAGTAGTACTGGTTGTGGGTAGGGCACCCGAATCCCAGAGACTCCAATATCCCTTAATTAAGGAATATTCCTTAAATCGTAAAAGGGATCCTACTATAATTTAAGGAATATTCCTTAATTAAGGGATATTGGAGTCTCTAGAATGAAAGCCCTCAGGAATCTGCAAGTCTGCAAAAGATGAGGAGTGCTCTCAAGGTCCTTCTTCAAGGGGCCCTTGGGATTAGGGGCCTCAACAATTAGAATAGGGTTCCCGTAAGGGTTCCTTCTAAAGGAGTCTATAAGGATTACTATAAGAGGTATTATGGGCGTTTGGTATAGGGGCCTTAAAAATTGGAATAAGGTTTTGGTGTCCATTATACTGTACTTATAATAAGGAGTCCCCAGAACAGCTATTTTCAACGACTGCCAGATGCCGCAAATCAGACGTGTTGTCTTCAGCTTGCGCCCTGGATTTCCACCATGCAATACCGAAAGAGCCCAAGGTCAACCTCTTCAAGTAAGCAACATACAACCTAAGTCATGCTGAAGCTCCCTCTTAGCTCAGGCTCTTCCTGGTACTGCGCGCCACGCCGAACTCTCTATTCCTGGAGTTTCCGCTTCTCGCCGACCTGAGGATTACTGGCATCTTGGTTGCGGTAATGCAGCTCGCGAGCCTGGCCTGTCTGCACAATCAGCACCTTGCACGCAGCCGGCACATCTTCCTGCTCCTCAAGGAGTTTAGTCACTTTCGTCTCTATCTGGTGCATCAGCTCCTGCAGACGCTTGTTGTCCAGCTTCCCGCTGCTGCAGAGGAGTTCGTTGGCATCCATGCGCTCTGACCCGATCTTCTGGCCCTTCAGGAAGACCTTGAAACTGGCGCCACCCCAATCCACGATCACATCAGCGGTGTACTCAGCCAAGACACCCTCAGCCAAAGCCACACTGAAGTCATTGATCAACTGAGAACATCGGTACCCCTTGGAAGCCTTGTGACGACTCACCACCTTCTTCTCTGCCTTTGGGAGGGCCCTCTCCAGGGAAGCCCTCAAAGGTGGCACTCCCGGCAGCTCCCGGGTTTCCTCCACGTCCTTCAGGTCCACCAGGTGGGTGATCTCGGGCTTCACCGCATAGCCTATCGAGTTGATGAGCAGGACGCAGTCATAGTCGCGAGCCTCAGCTTTCAGTTTCTCCTCCAGCTTCCGCAAAGCCTCCTGTGAGCAGACCTTCGTGCCCGCATGAACCGAGAAACTGAGGCCAGAAGCATCGTACGCCTGCGTGGAGGAGGAGCCCACCGACAGGATCAAGAGCCTCTTGGAGTTCAGGCCGAGGTGCAGGCCATACTCCAGCAGCGTCTTCTGGTTGTGGTCCCTCTTCGCCTCAAAGAGCGTGCTTCGCTCTAAGTCAGCCTCGGCCTCTGGCGACAAGAAGATGTGCGGGAAAGAATGTTGCGTCGCAGTCAGAGTCGCGGACATATCACCAGATGAAGCCAAGCCGAGAGAACCAGGCGGGCTTCGAGCGCTAGGTGAAGACTTGTTCCAGAGAGCTGCGAGTGAACAGCTACTATCGCCCCTCAACTTTCAAAACCAGGTTTCGAAGGTCGTTATAGAGTAATCGCACAAAAATATTTCGGGAACCCCAGAGTGCCTGGTGCAACCGAGGTTGTATGCAAACCACTCGCCTTCCAAGCGAGACAAACACCCTAAAGCCCAACACCAAACCCTGACCCCGACCCCTGAACCCGACCCCCTACATAAACACTAAACCGTTAGAAACCAGTGTTCAGGCTGTAATGGCTGAGCCATAGCATTTGTCGTCATTACTTAGTTGGAAGTTTTCGCCTACGTTAGGCCGCTGCCTGTTTGTAAGCTTCCTTCCCGGGAATTCCCCGAGAACGCAGTATACGGGCTTTAAGATTCGGCTTTTTGTTGTCGCCCCTCTTCCAACATTAGGGGTTTAGGGCTTAGGGTTTAATGTACCCCTTAGCGAAGACATATGAGAAAAAGTCTATTGCTTGAGCAGCTTGCGTTGAGTGCAACGGTGTCCAGACATTTGGGGATTGAGGGTTTGGTAAGCGAGGTGCAAGATGCTACGGTTTAAGATGGGAGTTTCCGAAAATTAGGGGTACCTTATTTGGGGTCCTTGTAATAAGGATTCTACTATTTAAGGTACTGCATTAGGGTCCCCTATTTTCGGAATCTCCCAGATGTTACGGTTTAAGATCAACCTCAAGCTGAAAGACTATAGACCGTCGGCGTGCGCACCTTGGACCTCAGTATCTTGTTGCCCGCCACGCCCGCCATGACGCCCACGACTGCCATAACGCCGACGAGCGCCATGACCTGTCTGGGTGTCCGTTAGTTTGAGCGGCTCTGTCGGACTTCATGGACGGTTTAGGGTGTAGGGTTCAGCAGCTCCGGTCCGTGAAGTTTTACGGTACAGTTATACTTACAGTATTGAAATATTTACCCACCCACCCCTGAATCCCATAACATTGAAAACTTAAAACTTTTCAATGTTTAAGCCAACTTCGACTCACATACTTCTATAGCTATGCAGCGCAAATCCCGTGCCACGAACAAGGATTTTTCAGGATTTCCCGCCACGAACAAGTGTTCTTTGGAATGGTTTCAAAAAACCCTTGTTCGTGGCGCGGGACCCTTGTTCGTGGCCGATCCCGCGCCACGAACAAGGGTTATTTCGCGCCACGAACAAGGGTTTTTTTGGAATGGTTTCGAAAAAACCTTTGTTCATGGCGCGGGACCCTTGTTCGTGACGCGAAATCCCGAAAAACCATTGTTCGTGGCGCGGGAATCTCCAAAAAACCCTTGTTCGTGGCGCGACATCCCGAAAAACCCTTGTTCGTGGCGCGGGCGGCGCGGTCGCGCCACGAACAAGAGTTTTTTGGAGAAACCCGCGCCACGAACAAGGGTTTTTTCGAGATTTCGCGCCACGAACAAGGGTTTTTCAGGAACCTTATTCGTGGCGCGACATCCCGAAAACCCCTTGTTCGTGGCGCGGGAGGCGCAGTCGCCCCACGAACAAAGGTTTTTTGGAGAACGCGACATCCCGAAAAACCCTTGTTCGTGGCGCGGGAGGCCCGGTCGCGCCACGAACAAGGGTTTTTGGAGAACCCCGTGCCACGAACAAGGGCTTATCGGGATTTCGCGCCACAAACAAGGGTAAAAACCCTCAGGCGCCACGAATCCATTAAGGATTACTGTAAACATATATATATATATATATATATATATATATATATGATAAAGAGGTTTAGAGTTCAAGACTTCAGGGCCTTGGGGTTCCAAGATGACCTTATCAGAACAAGAAGCCACCCTCTAAATCCTCTAAACCCTAAACCCTAAACCCCCCAAACGACACCCTACACCCTCGAACCTCGAAACCCTAAACCCTAAACACCCCAAACCCTCGAACCTCTAAACCCTAAACCCTAAACACCCCAAACCCTCGAACCTCTAAACCCTAAACCCTAAACACCCCAAACCCTCGAACCTCTAAACCCTAAACCCTAAACACCCTAAACCCTCGAACCTCTAAACCCTAAACCCTAAACACCCCAAACCCTCGAACCTCTAAACCCTAAACCCTAAACACCCCAAACCCTCGAACCTCTAAACCCTAAACCCTAAACACCCCAAACCCTCGAACCTCTAAACCCTAAACCCTAAACACCCCAAACCCTCGAACCTCTAAACCCTAAACCCTAAACACCCCAAACCCTCGAACCTCTAAACCCTAAACCCTAAACACCCCAAACCCTCGAACCTCTAAACCCTAAACCCTAAACACCCCAAACCCTCGAACCTCTAAACCCTAAACCCTAAACACCCCAAACCCTCGAACCTCTAAACCCTAAACCCTAAACACCCCAAACCCTCGAACCTCTAAACCCTAAACCCTAAACACCCCAAACCCTCGAACCTCTAAACCCTAAACCCTAAACACCCCAAACCCTCGAACCTCTAAACCCTAAACCCTAAACACCCCAAACCCTCGAACCTCTAAACCCTAAACCCTAAACACCCCAAACCCTCGAACCTCTAAACCCTAAACCCTAAACACCCCAAACCCTCGAACCTCTAAACCCTAAACCCTAAACACCCCAAACCCTCGAACCTCTAAACCCTAAACCCTAAACACCCCAAACCCTCGAACCTCTAAACCCTAAACCCTAAACACCCCAAACCCTCGAACCTCTAAACCCTAAACCCTAAACACCCCAAACCCTCGAACCTCTAAACCCTAAACCCTAAACACCCCAAACCCTCGAACCTCTAAACCCTAAACCCTAAACACCCCAAACCCTCGAACCTCTAAACCCTAAACCCTAAACCCTCGAACCTCTAAACCCTAAACCCGAACACCCCACCCTCGAACCTCTAAACCCTAAACCCTAAACACCCCAAACCCTCGAACCTCTAAACCCTAAACCCAACACCCCAAACCTCTACACCTCTAAACCCTAAACACCCCAAAACCCTAAACACCCCAAACCCTCGAACCTCTAACCCTAAACCCTAAACACCCCAAACCCTCGAACCTCTAAACCCTAAACCCTAAACACCCCAAACCCTCGAACCTCTAAACCCTAAACCCTAAACACCCCAAACCCTCGAACCTCTAAACCCTAAACCCTAAACACCCCAAACCCTCGAACCTCTAAACCCTAAACCCTAAACACCCCAAACCCTCGAACCTCTAAACCCTAAACCCTAAACACCCCAAACCCTCGAACCTCTAAACCCTAAACCCTAAACACCCCAAACCCTCGAACCTCTAAACCCTAAACCCTACACCCGGGGCCTGCGCTAAGTTTGGGGTTGTGGGATCTGGGCGTCGGGTTTGGGGGCTTACGGTTTGGGGATTGAAGCCTTAGGGTTTCAAAAGTTTAGTGATCCTTTAAGGGATCCTTTGGGGGTTCCTTAAAGGGATCTATAAGGGTTCTATAGAGGGTTTAGGGTTTAGGGAGTTTCCGAAAACTAGGGGTATCGTATTTCGGGTTCCTTATGATAGGGATCCGACTATTTAGGGACTATATTGGGGTCCCCTATTTTCGGAAACTCTCATTTAGGACTCAGAGTTTAGGCTTCCAACATCCAATCGCTGCAACGGCTCGCGCACCTCTTGCAGTAGCATCAGCCGTGGGAGACGCTAGCAACAGCGGTAAGAGTAGAACAGCACGCAGCACTACCATTGCCAAACATAAGACGAAACAGTACAGTCGAAAATGAAAAAACTAGCAGGAGCAACAGATGCAATCAGCGAATACAACAAATGAATGATTAGAAAATACAATAGCCATCATCTGCGACTCATCTGCAGCAGCACCCGATACATACTACAACACCTGCCACGCAACACATAAACCGTTATAGCTATGACGACAAAGAAAAACTTCACCCCACCCCACCCCTGACGGCCTGCCCCTGGAACCCTAACTCCCGTGCCCTTAACCTTGCCTGATCCCAAATCAGACCCTGAATCCCCAGAAACTGCTTTGGCTACCTAAACACGTTTTTGGCAGGGTCCCTGCGAATTTTGTACTCGTGTCAACAACAAGAAGCTACCAAAGAGGCCATTGTAGCTTGAGGGACTTCTTGAACCGCAAATCTCAAGGCCTGCATGCCGAAGCTACCTACCTGTCCAGATTCCTAGGGGAACTCAATGGCATGGGGGTAGCAGCATTAGTATTAGTATTAGTAAAAATACGAGTGCTAGTATTCGTAGGAGTATCTAATGCGAACACTGATACTAATACTACTACTACGAATACTAATACTAATGCTAATACTAATACTACAGGGTTTAGGGTTTAGGGGTTTATGCCGTATGGTTTAGGGTTTAAGCTTTAAGGTGGTTCATATAGGGGTTACAAGACTTCCCGACAAAAATACCCTAGACCCTCCATTCATGCAACACCCTCCCTAACGAAGATGTCGGCAGAAATCTGAAGATCAAAGGGAGAGGATCTACATAAACGGTTGCTGGCCCCAAAAGAACAGGCTGCCTGAAGGATCACAAGACTTAGAAAGCATGGATATAAGCACCTTACTTGGGGCTATAAGCAGCTATAAATAGAGTTACCCGAACAGTTAACAATAACCCTAGTTGCCAAGTCCCATGGTCCGTTATGTAGACTCTAAATCCTAAAAGCCCAGGATGCCCTACACAACCCTGGTAGGCCCTAGATATCAAGCCCCTGCCCCAAACCCTAAACCCTAAACCCTTTCGTAAGTCTAGACCCTGAACAATAACCCTGAACCCTAAACCCTTTTGTAAGTCTAAACCCTGAAAGATAACCCTAAACCCTATATAAACCCTTTTTTAGGCAGACCCTGGGGGGCCTTGAAGGGACTGACGCGCTGCGTTGAAACTGTAAGCATGTCATCTACTTCTTCGTCCTCCGCCGCTGCGGCAGCCTCGCAGTTGCTGGTGCTTTAGGGTTTCGGGTTTA